CCCTCACTCCTACATTTGGATGTCTCCTGGCAACACTGATGCCTTTGCTTCATGTCAGTTCTGAGTCCATCTAGGGAAGAACCAGGTTTTCCTGCATCCCTTTACTTAAGCTCTTAACATCCCTTGACTCTAATGGCTCTTTAAGCTCTCAGGAGTTGTAGCAGTAAGTATTGACTGTCATTAAGCTAAGAAAGGGCATATTCTGGCCCTTTTCAAAGCCTTATGTTCTATTCTGAGCTAACTACAGATGCTTGACCAGGCATTCTGATCCACTGAAGTCAATGTCCACGCTCAGAAAAATGCATACTGATTGAGGATTTCATTAGCTAAACCAACATAATCCTGCACAATAATTTTGCTGATATTATATGAGCAACATTATGTTGACGTCTCTCAAAATATTCCAAGTCTGGTAGGTTAATGTTATAAACAATCAAGTATTCCACATGTTAAGGTTTTGTTTTGAAATATTTTTCCATGCCTATCTAAATGTTTTTCATATGGAGATCTTCAAAAGTGCCATGTAAAGTTAGAAGGCAATTCACTCTTTTTCTCTCTCCTACTATTGGCCATAGGGAGAACAGCTTAGTGAGATCCAGCTCTTCAAATACAAAGTTTCCTTGAACTAGTGCATATCTAAGCTTTAACCACTGCAAATGGAATTATCTATGAATCATTTTTAAACAATAGTTTGAGATGCATGCAGAACATAAATCATGATGCAGTAGAAACAAGAGATTAAATCATACGTTTTTGAGTTGTGAACAGCAAAAAAGATTAAATGATCATGCAGAACCTTTTCTTTTTGTTACCGCACACAGACCCCAAGTGGTCTCCATAACATTGGCAGAAAATATTATGGATTAATCACAACACTCAGCAAAGGATAGCAAACAGAACAATAGTCTTACAGCAGAAATGGTTCAGCCAATGAGTGGGTGTAGCACTGGAATGATGAAATTAACTAAAGACAATGTGAGAGATTGGGAAAGAAGATAGTCAAAATAAGCTAATAATAAGTCTTTGCAGAAAAAGATTACTAGACAAAAACGCAAACTGCAAAGTAAAGTATGATGCAATGAAATTACTCTCCTTCATTCTGATATAACAATAAAATATTAACAACCATAACAGCTACTTTTCAAGTATCAAATCTATAAAAGTTACAAAAGACCCAATGTTATTTGAAATGATTAAGGAGCAAGCATGTAAATTTGAACAACTATCTTGACAGAAGCCTGGGCCAAAGCATACAATTCATCATTTATCTGGCAATGACTTTGGGCATACATTAGCATTGTTTCTCAAGTCAGTCTTTGAAACCGTGCTTCTTCTACCAAACCAACATTTAATGTGCCACTGACAAAAAGTATCAACATGATCAATCACTCCTTTTTTTTTTCTTTTTGCGGTGGACACGTAATTACCCATGTGATGCCAAACACTGCTTAAAGAAACCATAGAGTGGTTAAGTGCATACTGGTGAAATGATCCTGAAACTGATTATCCAAAGTGTGTGTGTGTGTGTGTGTGTGTGTGTTTAATAACTTTTCACTTCTTCTCCCAGGATTGGATAAGTAACATTGAACTGTAACCAACCAATGTGAGATTCCTTTAAAGTACATTGGTAATTGTAAAACACTGGTGCACATTACAGTCCAGCTAATTTTTATTGTACACATTTGTCAAAGATTGTATTGTTTGTGATGTGTGCTTATCTTCAGTTTAAATTGCTTTCTGTTTCCCACTTTGCAGCAACAGAAGACAAGAGGCCGCTAGAGTAAGGACTAACCTGTATTGTAACCAACATGGCTCTTATTAGTGACTTGCAAATGGAGTGAGTGGGCTGCCTCCATTTAAAAGCAGTGCATTTGAGGAATTATGGTAGCTGGACTTCAACCCTAATTCCCAAACAGCATGTCCAATGGCCATGATGGCGAGGAGTTATGAGAGATAAATCAACAACTCTAGAAGCGCCAAATAAGGGAAGGCTGCCACAAGTCCTTTGCTGTTCTCTGTCATCGCCTCAAATGCAATGCTTACTTGTTTTAGGGTGATTCACAAATATTCAGGCGCATAGTAGCCATCTGAAAATGCTGTTGGTTTCTTTCCTTTACTGTGACACAGAAAACCCTGAATACAACAACAGCAGGAGATAAATAAGAAGGGTTGGCCACAATCGGCCTAAATGTGCACAGCTTTTCAAGCAGTCTTCTTATGGCTACGATGTGTCCCAGGCTGCAAAGTTATACCCACTTACCTGGGAGTAAGCCCCACTGAAGTCAGTGTGACTTACTGCTGAGCAGACTCATACGAGATTGCACTGTTAATGAATTAGCACACATAAATACATGCTTCATAACTAAAAAGAGCAAATCACATTACAATTAAATATAACCAATACTAAAGACAACCTTTTACCTTCTAATCTATGAAGCCTACAAAAATGTTACATTTAATCAAACCCTTAATGGTAGTACAGTAGGGATCAAAGGTTAAAACCTCGTTATTTGTGTAGGAAATAACCCTAAACTTCTTTGCACCCTGACTCATTTAAATAGAGCTTATTTTCAAGTAAATACACTTAGAATTAAGTTTTGACATTCCACTGAAACAGATGGGACCTTCTTTCAAGGAAGCATGCTGAGGAATGAGGTGCAAGATAGAATGGCAATTCACTCTTAAAAAGCACCCAAACAATGTACCACTTAACTCCTGACAAAGGTAACTTTAATGCAGCCATGAAACTGAAAATGATGCATGCAGCTATAAAATCAGGGATTTTATGATCGTGTAGGTAACTTGTTTAATGGCAAGCAGCTGTTACGCAATGGCGCCAACATAGTTCAGGCGAGTGAACAATCTATGGAAAGACTACACAGTAAGCTCATGCACCAACAGTGTAACCGTGTTTGCTTGCCAAAGGCAAACTGCTTACTGTTTCAGAAACTAACAGTGCATCATGGCCTTATTGGCCCTTCCAACACTACTATTCTATGATCAGCAATGGTTCTTGAATGTCACTGTTTTCACAAAGAAAACTTGCCAAGAAGCACAGGAAACCACCGCTGGGCTACTTTCTCCTTAGAAAGAAATGCTGCAGCTTGCCTAGAATCCTACAAAACACAAAAAGGATCTGCCCTTTTTTCAAGTCAGGCCATCAATCTATCTAGCTCAACCTCTCTAGGCAGTAACTCCTTGGGGTTTTAGGAAGGAGTAATTTTTAGCCCTACCTGAACATGCAAAGGCTGAACCTAGAACCTTTTGCATGCAAAGCAGGGGCCCTACATCTCTTCTACAGAGTGAAACTCTCATTCCAGAAGACTGAGAATCATAGAATTGTACTGTTGGAAGCGCTTTAGCAGGCCATCATTTCCAACTGCCTGCTGCTGGCAGGACTCATGTCACCTGTCCAGATTTCAACTTAGACTGACCCTACTTAGTTTTCAAGATTAGGCAGGATCAGGCAGCTCAGGCTATATGGAAGCTTGAGCAAGCTTGTTACTTCAGAGTGACAAGAGTAGTTCATTATGAACCCTCAGCCAAAGGACAGCCGATTAGAAAGGGATAGCTCTGGGGCACAGCTATTAAGTTGTTTTGTGCTTGGAAGTATCGTGCATATACCCTCTGTAAACCTTCACAAGGTTTTCTCAAAATACTTTTAAAACCCTGTGCTTTACACTATTTCTATTTTAGTAAAATATGGCTTTCAGTGTGTGCATCTAATATCTCAACCTATGGGTGTAATTCTGAGTGCTCGTTACCTTTCAGAGCCACAGCCTAATTTCTATAAGCCTTGCTAGTACATTTTAAAAAATCTTGTAAATGAATTACCAAGCAGAGATTCCAGAATCTTTCTGTATCTCTCTCCTTCTCTATCTGTGATTGAATTATATATATTAATTATTCTAACATGCCTAAAATTTTCAAATGAATGGGCTGAAAGCACAGGTGTTTACATTTTAACAAGGAAGAATGGCCTCATTGATTCTAAGCTGGCTATCATGGTATGGGCATACGTGGAATGCCTTGGGAAAAATAAATATAGGCTAATGCTACATTTTCTTTCACCTGCTTATTTTAATTAACTAATGAGTCTAAGATATGCTTTTTGAATTTACTCAAAAATATCACAAGAAATGCCCATGCTTACAAAGGGTATATCAAAGAGAAGTCAACAAAAGACATCTGAGCTAGTAGTACTTTTTAAAACATTTTTTGAAAAATTCTATGCAAGTAAACAGACTTTGTAGCCCCACAGCAGAGATAAAGCAAAAGGAGAGGAGAAGAAAATGAAGTATGTGCCATATTCAGTTTTCAAAAAAAACCATGCACACATATGGTCAACATTACTGTTGCCCTAGAAATGTATGAAAGTAGGTTCTTTCACAGTCTCTAAAATAAGGATAATAAAATGTAAACCCAGAGGAATATCTGGTCTTAACTGGAACGAGAGCCAGATAAAAAAAATCTATAAAACTATCCTTCATATTTCTGCATTGTCTGGAAATGCTTTTGGACACTGACCTTCATGATCCAGTAAGAATTTGAAATCAATGATCTAACAATTGCACTGTGAATTATGGTTATCCAATCAATAGGCTCAATTAAAGCACATGTTGAATTGAAATATCTATACCTGTGCGTATACATGCAACCAGAAGGCTGTTTGTTTTGGAAATCTGAAAGGCACAACAAAGATTCAGAAGGACTTTAAACCCTGAAGAACTTCTTCACCAATTCAAGCATGTTCTCATATGACAGCTCCACTTCCTGGTAAATATGGGCAAGTAACTCTTGAAGCGCAAAAAGGAATGGCATACTGAAGCTTAGGAGTTCATACAAGTAGGCATAGTTGTATGCATTGTCCCTGAAATGAAGTCTGGTAGAGTGCAGGAAACCATGCATCCAGTTAGAGAGGTGTCTCGGAAGGTCAAGCAGATCCCTTGTCACCTTAAGAGGCCAGCTTAGAGTTTTCCTAAAGAATGAAGGCAGGATACCTGGGGACAGGTCCTCTGAGCTGCTATTAGCAGCAAAAGCACTTTCTGAGGTGGTTTCTGCAGACATAGGTTCTTCTTGCCTCCACACCTCCATTTCCCCCTTTGAAGAGAAACAACATCATCACCACCACCATCTCAAGCCTCGGGACACTCCTTTCAAGGAATGGTTCCAAAGGATACTCAAGGTAGTTCTTGACTTTATGCCATTGTCTCAGTCAAAAATGGCCTCATAAATGTCACATGGCCAAGCACCAAAACAAGAAGGCACACATGTGTGCGTGTATTTCAAAGGGTGGGGGCTACATCGTTTCTATTCATTTTAAGAAGGCTTAAACAGATGGCAATTTTAGAGCCCAAGTGGACAAAGGCATGTCTCAACCCTTCCCCTGATGCCTTAAAAGTATATTGAAAAGCACCCTTATTAGCTGAGAAAGAACATGGTTTGCTTCACCCAGTAAATGTCATTCCCATGGGGACAGTGCCCATTGGCCTGGAAAGAGCAGCAACCTTCTTACTGTGGCACACATTGCGGGCCTGGGATACTGATGATACAGATAGGAATCATCTGCAAGTTAGAGGGTTCCCTTCCATGTTGCAGACTCAGCAGTGGTGACTGCTTTAAACAGGAATGCACCCGCCAACACACACACACACACCAAACTTCAAAATAAACCTTGCTTTTTAAAAAGAAAATAGCAAGTCTATTACAAGGCCATGCTTTTGCACACCAGTAGAAATAGGCATACCTTTGCATTAGTTTTTAACATGGCTCTCCTCTTTCTGTGAGTATTCTTTGTTTTACATTGTGCAAAATGGATCTTGCAGTAAAATTTGCCTAGAAGACAGAAGTGATAACATGATTTGCTTTTTCCTACCAAATGGAATCAAGGGGCTGGTAGACTTAAACATACCGTGGTAGAACTGAAAGAAGCAGTTTAGTTCATTTCTCCCTCCCTCCCTCTCTCTCTCTCTCTCTCTCTCTCTCTCGATTAAATATGCCGCCCCAATACTAAAAGTCTCTGGAAGCACTCTCCTTAAACACTGTTCTTTCTCAATGAGTATTTCTTTACATACTGTGAAGTGTACTTTCCTATTTTCTGACTGTTCATGGTCTGTTCATAACCTATTTGTTCTGCCTAACCTGAATGGAACTATCCTGGGGTCAACAAGTCCTGGCAAAGGTAGCCAAAGGACCATCATATGTAAAACTGGCATCACCATTTGGTTGACCTCACTGCTCTTGTGCAAGAGAATCAAAAGACTCAAACATGCCAGGCTCCTATTATACAGCGTCCCAATTTCTTATTATAATAATTATAATGAAGTAAAATGATAAATGTTCTCTTATTTATTACCTTCTTCTTCATCGAAAGCATACATAGCCAGGCGGAGCGTTGTAGCACACGTGGCGCATTTGAAGCACTCCCGGTGGAAGAAGCGCCCCTCTGCGCTCAGGCGCTCCATGACATACACCCTTTTCTTGCAGAAACAGCAGATGTCACTCCCACCTACCGACTGAGGAAACTCCTTTCTCAGGGAACCCTGTTAAGCAAATGAACAGGCACTTGAAGTAGTTTTAAACTATAACGTAACCAAAACTGCTTGATTAAATACCTTACTAAGGTAGTAAAGAAATACACTTACAAAGTTATACCTACTGTATTAATTTATTAATAAATCTATTTAAAAGCTGCCTGTTAGCAACTTGTGCCCCTCCATTAAAGAAATAAGCTTCACAATGCAAAATTGAGGGCTCAGCACTCATAGGGCTAAATACCACACTAAGTCGTGTGACATTTTATTTATTTATTTGCATTATTTTTATAATATATAACATGACCATATTAAAAACCTAGTCAAAATAAAATAAAATGGCATGCTAAGCACACAGGTTTTTACAACCCTGCTGCTTGAGTCTCAGCAGGAATATGATGAAACTTGCGTCCTTGTGACTACTAGAAAAGAAGCCATGGAAAGCAGACAGGAGGCCTCAATACATGGCTCTTTGGTCAATGCCCTGCTTCATGTCCAATAAGATCAACTTGTCCAGGTCACGTGAACAAACAAGCCACTGACTGGGTTCATACTATATATGGCAACCCTGTAATGTTCAGCTGCCCCAGAGTCCCCACCTCCCTGCGGCTCCCAGAGCGTGGATCTCTGCTCTGAGTTCCCTGGTCCCCGAATCCCAGGGCCCGACACTGGATTTAGCACATGACAACCCAAGTGTTGGGGAAAACCTATTTATTATAAAACAGGATTAACACAATAGGGGTGGAGGATTTAAAATGCTACAACACACAATACACACACACAGGAGAGAGTAGAGAATGAAACAGGAATTGGAGAGCAGCAGTTCTCAATAGCCCAGCACAACCTGGGCTCCCTGCAAGACCTCTGAAGACAATTGGACACAAAATGACAAAGCTAACTGGTTCTAGCACTAACCCAGTAGACAGACCCAAGGTAGCCTTCTCCTTTGTAGAATAGCCCAGCACCCTTTGGCAGAGCCTCCAGCAGCAACAGGGAACCGCTCCTTGGAGAGGAATCCTGATCTGCCTCAGCCCCCTGCTTTTATCCCTAGTAGATCAAGCAGATGACTCATGGAGTGACATCTCTTGACATGACCCAGGTGAGAATTACCTGGATAATGACAGGGAATGCTCTACTCTATAGCTCCCAAATCGACAGCCTTGGAGGCAAGTGTGAATTCTCCTGTCCTTGGGAGTACTTTACGTTTTTTGCATTCCAAGTGCTGTCTACCCCTCCCGCCACCTTGGCACCTTGCTTCACTTCCTGGCTGAAGCTGCTGGGTCTCTGGACTGTTAACTCTTCCCTGGCCAAGGCATCCACAGACAGCTGTTTGTTACAATTCCACTCTAGGTAACCAGCTGCAGGGGGTTGCTGTGAAATGAGAACCTGGACCCTTCCCACAACAATCCAGCATGCTGAACCATGTGTTTTTGTTTTGGAGTAGTTGTTGAACATAAATAGATCTGGGTTCTTGATCAACACAATCAAGCCCAGCATGGCAGGGAAAACCCTCTGCTGCATATGCTGTGCTCACCCAAGAAGTGCCCAGGCAACACTTCGGAATGACTACCACCAGCTCACTCTCACTGCATTTCCCCCAAAATATCACTTTTTGCAATCTCTGAAGTGACAGCCACTAACAGTCCCTCTAAAATAGCTAAGAACGGGCTACCTGTGCTTCACCATCTATTTTAAATGTTTTCACGGAATGTGAGCAAATGTTTTCATGCCCAAAATACTGATTTTCTAGACTTTGTACAAATGAAACAAATCTGGAAATTTGTAATAGAGGGAAGGCCTGCCTAGGCCTGTGAAAGAGCAGCATATTGACCAACAGAGCTTGCAAATATGTTGTTTTGTTACTTTTCACTTAACAGCTGTCAAACAGAGATAAGGGATCTTTGCTGGTAACTGGAGTAGTAATTTATAAATGTATGATAACTGCAAGCATAGATACTTTTGAATACACAAATGCCTGTGCTTTTTAGTTGTGCTAACAGAGTAACACCTGTAATCTATTAGGAAGAACCTACGTGTGGGGAAAAAAGAAGAGGAAAACTGACATAGTGACTAATTCCCAAGAAACTGTTTGTCCCAAGACTAAGAAGTGAAAATAATATTAAAACTACTGTTTGATAAGTACTGAGTCTCCCTGCTCAAATAGTAGCTTTGGACCAGCTGTCCCTCACCTAGCCCCCTCCTGATGTGCTGGATGACAATTCCTGTTGTCCCAGCCATTGTCATGAGAACTTGCGATGATGGGACTTATAGTCCAACATTGCTGGAGAGTGTCAGCATAGAGAAAATTGGTTGGGAACATTCATGACCTTTATGTGAACTTCACGAATATGGCACACACTGTAATATATAAAGATTGGCAATGTACACGGAAGTGAACTATGGAACATTAATAGATATGGAATACAGTTCATTGAACTTGAAAAGGCTTTGGAAATAAATGAACTATAAAATACGCTCTACACAAAGGAGATAATATCCAGGGATGTTCTGGATAGATGGGGATTTGTGTACTACATTGCAGTAGATTTGGGAGGATAGAATCGTACAATATATACTGTGGGTCAAAAACTGTTTCTGCTATTTTCTGTTGTGGGATACACATCTCTTGCCAAAACCCAAGCGAAATACACAAAATGGCATCTCTTACTGTGCTGACCACCGCAGTATATTTCTGTATAATACCTGACAGCTCTGAGTAGTAGAAGGAAAAGCTTGACAGGGAGTAGTAGTAGAAGTAGTAGTAGTAGGGAAAGAAGCAGCAGCACCTCCATTCGCTGATTCATTCTAAGTCAACACAATAGTAATAAAAATTCATTTATTCCAAAGTGTTTTATTCAAAGAACAATATATAAAATAAATGCATAGTGGCTAGTGTGACCACTGATCTGTATGGGCTACACACACACACACACACACACACACACACACACAGAGAGAGAGAGAGAGAGAGAGAGAGAGAGAGAGAATAGGGCAAGGTTCTTTTTGTTCTCGTCTCCTGACACTGCAATATGATTTACATCAAATAGATACACATAAGCATCTTTGTCTCACAAGTCCAACCTTGAGAAGCCACAGTCCAGATCAACGGCTTCAAAACTACATGTTATAGAACTCTATACCAAATTTAAGCTACAAGCAAGAAATATCAAGAGCACATTTAATGCATCTTCACTATCCTACAACCGCAAGCTGACCGAAAAGCTTAAAGAACAAGTCCTGTAAATATTGCTCCTTAAATATAAATGAGCCCAATATTCAGTGTGTCTTTAAACCTTACCTGGTTTAATGGATTTGGCCTGTGATCATTCATGTACAGATTGACCAGGACTTGTGCCACAGCACTTATTCCATGTGATACTTTCCCTACAGTCATCTGTGCTCCAGCAAAAGGGGGGAAAGGAAAGAGAAAAGAAAAGAAGAAAAATGGAGATATTTTGCTTTTGAAAATACCATTCAAGCAAAATGACAGGAGACAGTCAATCAGAGTAAGCCATACCACAGAGCAGTGATTAACAAGCTTGAAGTGAAAAAGACACAAAAGCATCTAGAAGAGGTGCATGCATCAGAAATCAAACCTACCTCTGATTTCACCTTTCTTCCTGTGTTTCATAAATCAAAATATTTAGCAATGTAGATATTTTGTTTTAAAACTGGTAACATACAATAATGTCTCTTAGGTGTGGTTTACATACAACTCTAACCCATGATAGTTGAGTTAATTCAGGGTTGTCACAGTAAATGTGACCTCACCAACAACTCTGATTTGTTAATGTCAAACAAACCAAGAGGAGGAACCATGGTTTGTTTTTATGGGTGGTTTAAACCATGGGTTATCACTGCATGTGAACCAAGAACTGTGAATTGTTTCACTGGCCGTTGGCAACAAACAAACGAACAAACAAATGAATGAACAAAAGCTGATCTCTGCGCCACTAATATAGCATCACAGATGTATTTGAAATGTAGAGAGAGGGAACAGGAAAATAAGAGAGGGCAACAAACAATCCAGGGATTGAGAAAACAAACCACAGTTCGATAATTTGCCAAGCAAACTTTAGCAGAGCAAACTATAGATTACAGAAACTAAGGAACAGTGTTCTATGTGAACTAGATTTATGATTTTTTTCTCAGGTTTGTATGAAGATCCTAATAAGCAGGAATACAACTGGGGTGGGGAGAATTCTAACCAAAGGCCAGCTTTTGAATGCTTGATGCATGTTTCCCTAACAGAATTTTTATTTTGGGAAGAGCCAGAACTTCCATTCTGTTTAATACAGTTAAACTACTGAACTTACACCTAGTGCCACATTATCTGACTGAAGTGGTTTCAGCTTGCGGATGGGACTACTCAATAGTCCTGGTTGCTTACTTTGTTATCCCAAGATGGCACACAGTTTAGGATACTGCTTCCTGGGCGTTAGGCAAGCTTTCGAGGGTGTTGCAAAATACTGAAGAGAAAACTGTGGCAGTCTGAAGGCCAACCTATTGGTAGAAAATGCAGAGGAAGGCCACCTATGGAACTAGCCCATAGAAACCAAATAAGATGGAGCTTGGGACATCTACACTGACTTCTTGTGGCTTTCTAGTCATATTCAAAACTGCTGGTTCTACTCCAAACTTTCACTTTAGAGACTGGCTATCTGAAGGAATGTCTCCTTACCTGTTCCCCCAACCTCTTGGATGAGTAGGTGGCCTTGCTCATGACTCAGGTGTGAGATGGCAGCTAGGAGGCCATGGGATTGCTTGAATTCTTAGATTTGAGGTTGGAAAGGGGCTCTGCCCTTGGATCTCCCTTCCACAGCTTCACAGACAGCAGGTAAAGAATCACACTGACTACTTCTCCAAGATCATAAAAGCAATCTCAGATAAAGAATTAAGAAGTGTCCTAGGGGACAGAGAGGGGATGAGACTGGGGCTGCCAGGACATAAGGTATCCTAGCAGTGCTCCAGCCTCCTTCTCTCCCCCTCCAAAGCTGGATGGTCCCATCTCTCTGACTTGCAGGGTGGGATAAGAGTGGAGACAAAGATGGCCTCTACTGCATTCTGCCCTGAATAGGCTGCCTTCCAAGATTGGAAGCTTATGGACATCCCTACTGAATTGTGCCCTTAGGGTATTTATGAGCAGACTTTCAAGCATAAGCCCCCTGGGAGGTCTACAGTTTAAAAAAGTCAGAACAATAGAATGTACTCAATAAATCAGACCAAACTATAAAGATTAGCAAAAATCTTCAGTTCATACTGTTGTCAGATGTCAAAGAACATTTGTTGTGGTATGTTAAAACTAGCACTTATTTTGTGTGTGTTACTGCTTTGATTACACTCTATAAATTAGGCTTTTTATTTTTCTTTATTTGTATTATTTTTAATTTTGTGTAAATTTCCTTGTTTGGGCTGACCATTACAAGGCAGAAGTGTACAATCTATAAGATAATTTGTGTCTGTACCATGGAGCAAAGGCTGCGAAACTTTGTGACACCTGAAACTTGGTAGACATACTAAGGGGATCCCAGGGGTGTACATCCCAGGTTATTCTTTAAAGCATTAATTAATTTAAATTTGAACATGTCTATGTTTGAAGAGTGCAGTTTCATCTTTTGTCACTACTGGGCAGACTTTCCAAACCAGCTTACAGCTTTGCAGTTGACAGTTTCAAGCAAGAGGTGAATACATGGAGAAGGGCAGAATTATACAGCTGCTCCCTCTTCCTAAGCTGGGGAAGCCCCTTCTCAGAGGAAAGCACTGGACTGACCCTCCCTGAAGATGCCTGCAGATATGTCCCATAGCACGGGCCATGTGCCTCGAAATCCTAGCAGGTGTGTCTCCCAAGTGTGCAGCTGCAGGCCTTCGCAGCTTGAATGCTTGGCTATATTAAAGAAAGGGCTATTCCACTGGGGTCTCTGCACTAGTTGGATATAATTGTATTTCTAGGATTCATGATTTATAGTGGAAGCAGCACTTGAGCTCCCCAAATGGGCAGCTCAGATGGGAAACCGGTCCTGCACTTTGAGTTGCTAGGGAGCACCTGCACGGCCACACTTTACCTGATGCAGGTAGCAACGACAGTAAGCCTTGACCTACATGCCATTCCTAGCTACCTTGCTTGATATAAATCTCAGGCATCATGACGCCTGTTCAGAGTCATGTTCTGCAATGCCACTGCTGTTCTTGGCACTTTCCATGAAGCCATAAACGGTACAGTCATGTCACAGTCTCCAATGTATGCCATTCACATTTCTCAAAAACGAATTAGGCTTTGACTTGTCTGCCATGTATTTCCTTACCACAAATATTTATAATTACCTTAAAGATAAATAGCTATTGTGTTTTCTCTAGAAAAAGTTACACTGGGTGATGAAGAAATGTCATTTACAGCAATGTTTTCCTGCTGAATATACCTAAGAAATTACTCCAAAGATATGCGTGACTAAACAAAGGATGGGCTACTCAAGCTGATTTTCACCCTTTGAAGTAAACTAGCTGCCCCACCCACCAAAACAATCAATGTCAACTTTTCTTCAATCATACTGACAGCTGGTAGAGCAACATACCTATGCTTATTAAAATAGTGGGGAAAAGCAACTTTTATTAACTAGAGCATGATCAAATTGGGGCTAAAAGGTAACACCCTCAAATTGAGACAGACTCTGACAACAAGGTCAGATTATTGTTTTAAAAAAAACACTTATACAACTTTAATATGATAAAAGTGAAGGTGCAGCAACATGGAACCCTTCAGATGTCATTGGACTACAACTCCCATCACCCTAGCCAGGACAGAAAATGGTGAAGCATGATGGGGGATGCACAAGTTGCCCATTTCTAGAGAAAAGCTTGAATTTGTTGGGAAGAGACTTTGCATTAAAATATTTACAATCTAAACCCTCAAATTTTAAGACAATTTTTTCTTAGGATGCAGTCATGCATTTAAATTACAGAAAGTGTGAACCTGTGTCTTATAGAAGCTGGCAGGATCCAATAAGGCCATCGGGTGCAACTTCCTCCTCACTAAAGGGGAAACTGGAAAGCATACCTAACAGATGTCCAGTTGCATCGTGGATGCTCCCAGTGTGGGAGAGCCCACAACCTCCCTAGGTAAGTGCTTCTGTTGTCATATTGCTCTTAGTGAGGAAGTTTTTCCTGATTTTCATCTAGACTCTGCCTTCCTCTAACTTGAGCCCATTAGTCCACATTCTGCAATCGAGGGTAACTAAGGAGAGATCCCGGCTCTCCTCCATGTGGCAGCCTTTCAAGTATCATGACTCAGTTTTCTCTTCTCAAGGCTAACAGGCCCAGTCCTCACAGGGCTTTGCTGCCAGTCCCTTGATCATCTTTGTTGCCCTCTTCTGAACCCTTTCCAGGTTCTAGAATGCATATTTTAAAAACTTTGGTACCAGAAATGGCTGCACTACTCCAGATAAAGCCTAACCAGTGCTGAGTAGAGGGGAACTAGCACTTTGCATGATTTAGAAGTGATGTTTCTATTTATTCAGCCCCCAATAGCATTCAGCTTTTTGGCAGCCACATCACACTGCTGACTCATTCAGCGTGTGCTCTACGACAATTCCAACATCCTTCTCACATTGTTACATCAACTATCTCACATCTTGATTTGTTTTGTTCAGAATTTCCTTTTAAAAATATCTTAGACTCATTTTTTCTTTTGACTCATTTGACATGGGACCTTACTTACTTATCATTTTCCCAAGTTTATTAAATATGGATTTCTTAAAATCCAGGGTATGCATTTGGCCACATTCAGCTTTTACCTCCTTTAGAGTGAAGAATTCAAGTATGACAGTCACTTTCCTCCAGAGTCCCTATAAGTGTCACCCAACCCACTAGACCATCCTCATTGCTTGAATCAAGTCAAAGATAGCTAATGCTCTAGTTCCTTCCTCCACTTTCCCTAAGTGCAAGTTATCAGCAATACAAATCTTAATCTCATTTTCTACATGAGATGGTAGGGAAGAAAGGCAAAGGAGATGGGCTGAACTAGTGGTTCAGTGGAGCAGAACCTTATAAGACAAACTGGTGTGGCCACTTGAAGGTCTATTCAAACTACTTGTGGTTTTGAACTAAGAAGAATCAGAACACTTTTTAAAACTACTATGTTTGAGTTACCATTTTACAATTAACAGTGAAGTCTAGTCTCTAACATATTAATAAAGCCTCAAGATGTGGCACAACAAGCCAGATTCTTCACTGAAGAAACTCCAGGCACTTTCCATTTATTGTCATTTTTGCCGACGCACAAACAAGCATGCTGATGTTTCCTTTCCTTCCTGGAACCCAAATCAATGCCAAATCCTGCCACATGACCATGTCTTACAGAAGGAGTGGTGCTCTATAACCCCCCACCCTCCCTGCATTAGAAAGCAAGCATCAGAAGGAGAATTGTTCTAAATGAAAGTATTCAGTTTGCTTGTTTGTGCATCTGTCTGTCATCTAAGGTGATAACACCCAGAATTTTTCCTCCTTATTTGCTGTTGGTGAGAAGCAGACCTTAGTTGATACATGCACACACACATTCTCAAATAGTAGTTTTTAAAAACGACAGAAAGCCTAAATTAAAGCCCAGGGAATTAAATGCCAATACATTGACAAAGAGGTTCTCCATCCAGACAGAAGCACAGCTCACGCCTTATACCTAAGTATTCATACAGGCTTTCCAATTCAGTTTTATAAGAGATATTAGCAATCATGATTTCTTAAGGAGATGAGATTTACATATTTAGACTGAAAAATAGTCATTTTTTTACTATTGTAGACAGAAAAATAGTCATATTTTTGACATATGTCTGAGAGGCCACAGGATTTTTTCAGCTCCAATGGCAAAAACAGCTCCAACTTGAGAGCTAGGACACCATCTTTGGATCACCCTCCTTCTGCCCTGCAAACCGATGCAGAAAGCACCACAGTGGTTGCTTCTCTGAGGACACAAGAGGGAGCTCAGAGAAGGGGCTTACGGGGACATCCTCTGGGGGAAGGGACTGGTGCAGCCATACTATGATGCATTTGGGAGCTGCTGCTGCCTTCCCTCCCTGCCTGAAGTTCCCTGGCTAGTCTGCTGGGCACGAGGAATGCTGAGGAGACCCTTCACCTCCACACTTCTCCTACCTTGCAAAGGGTCTCCATAATCCTCCGCATTCAGAGGATTATAGGCCATCTCACTGGTCTGCAATTTTAATACTTTAGGAAAAAATACTAGTTAAACTGACTAGTATAGCAGGGTGCTTTACTTTGCTTGCAAACAGATACTTTGCAAGTTCTGCATTGTTTCAAAGACAGCCTAATATTTAAAATATATTTTTATGATATAGGAAAGCAAAGTCTGATGACATACACAGACAATGATTTCCTAGTTGGTTTAAGAACAGTCAAATTCCTGCATGAGATTATCTCCTGTGTGATTATTAGGCCGGGCAGGATGCAGAATATGTAATGAAAAGAAAAAATAAGGAAACTGCTTTTCATTGGTCAGGATCCCAGATAAGCCAGAAGAGAAAGCGAACACAGGTATTAAAAGAGATAATCAGAGTATGATGTGATGCAGGGGCACTGCTTTTTCCGCACTTTCTGTTCCAGCAAACCAGTCTAATCCAGCCAAGTGACTCAAAAATAGACTTTTGTTCAGCTTTATAGTATTGACAGTTCACAGGATCTTTGTATCTATATACTGCATACTCCAAGCTCAGAGAAAGGTAAGTATCCGGCTAGAGAGGGACAGTGCTCACCCTTCTTGGGGCTCAAAGACTTCAGAGTACAGCAATACTCTCAACCAGAATTTAAAGTGGGAGGCCCACAAAGGCTCAGTCCTCAAATATGCCAAAGAACCCTGCTTCTGAGCACATGCAGAGTTCATTTCTTTTGCGCTCTAAGTTTAAGCAACAGGTCTTCTAAGCTAACTGAGTTCCTGCAAGTGCTGGATATACCAACTGCAGTCCAAAACACTTGGCTAAAGTAAAAAGTAATTTTGCTTTTACAACTTGGATCTGTAGCATCTATTCTCGCTCTGCCTTGGCTAAGACGAGGTGAAAAGTTTGCTTGGAAAATTAAAATAAAACTGGCTTTGGACTTGGTAACAGCAGAGCCATAAGTAATCATGAGGCAGAAGTTTGTAAGACAAGACGTTTGTCCACTGATGTTTTTGTACCCCTACACTGAAAAACAAGTGCCACTTAGTCACGCTGTAATTCTACACTTGGTCCCACAGTCTATATCCAGTCATTCTTCTTCCTCTTGGCTATTTTAATACAGTGAGATAAATAATCAGATTTCCACTTTAATTGTTATTTTTAAATATCATATTGGTAGCTGTAGTTCTGAAGCTATTTTGAAAGATATGGGTGTGTGTGTGAAAGGGAACTGGCATAATTCCCTGCAGTCCCTTTTCACGTCTTTTATTTTTGCTAGCATGCACCTAGACAAACCCAGCCTTTATTTAAGTGAAAAGCGGCACCAACACACACACACTCTCACCCCATGCAAAGCTAAGTCTTAAGAGCCAAAGCCAACCTTGTGCAGTTCACTCATGTATTATCACTGAGTGGCAACGCAAATCCGACATGGGAACTTGTTATGGAATACCTTTTTAGAATGAATGGCAGGGGAAGCAGAATCAATAGATGAAGAGGAAGCAGCTGAGTCATGAGATGGAAGGCAAGAGGGAGATGGGAGCTGAGAATGGGAGAGACCTTTAGTAGGAAGTTTATTCTGTACAGAGCAGAAAGAGGAAAATTATCCCAGATGATTTTCATATTAATGTGGGTTAAATTGATGGCATGCAATACATCATTGGAGGCAAGACTACAGCCACAATCTATTGCAGAGTTCTGCCCATCTCAACAGGTCTAAACGCATCGCCTTGCATTAAGATTGTGGACTAACTTCCCATTTTGTGTTCCTGCTTAGCAACGTGAAACCAAGTTATTAGTCATAAGCCAGCCCTTTTCTACTTGACAGGATAACACCAGCACTTGACCCCAGCTGATCCCTGTATCTGCAAAGCAAACACAGTATTCACCTTTGGGAGGTTGACAGAGCCAAACATTGAGGCAAGATGAGCAGCTTTCTCTTTAATGCTCTTTTTATGAAATTCTCTATTTGCTAAAGACTGAGCTCTCTTCTGCAGCAACAGGGAAGAGAAAGGAGAGAGAATAAATGTTTGGTTATCAAGAAAAGGCAGAAACAGCATTATTGAGAAATACAGTCCTTTGCGGGGTGGGGGAAATGAGTAAACAGAAAGTAAGCAGAAAGGTAGCACAGAACAGAAAACACTGGCAGTGCAAAGGAAAAGGCGGCAGAATTAATGTTTGACGATTCTGTAGCTGTGTGCACTTGGAATCAGTGCGATTCTTAAAGGAGAAGCCACAGCAGGTACTTCACTTCAGCTGTGAGGCTGGTTTCCTCCTAGGGGTGGCAGGCAGACCTTCCACCAAGCTGATCCCAGGACGAGGCATCCATGGCCCCCCCGGCTCTGCACCAGCATCCCAGGCAGGTTGCCTTTTTTAATTGGTAAAGTGCTCCAAGTACATTTATTCATCCAAATATTAGAAGACATTTCCTGCTCTTACACTACAAATGCTAACATGTGTTCATTTCTTTTTACATTTTCTTTTTTATTTCTGTTTTAAAGAAATCCCTTGTTTTTGTTCTTTACTCTTACTTTTCTTCCCTCTTTACAACAATAAACAACACCAAAATAAGCAAGCCGGGAAATGTAAAACTGATAATAGAAAATGGTGTTATAGGTAAGACAAGAAGACATGTCAATGAACCAGAGGGATGTGGGCACAGGGGGGACCAGAAGAAATGAGGTCATTTTCTTTAATGACCTGTATCATCAACTGTATAACTTGGAAGGTGGAAAGCAGGGGTCTGCTCTTGAAAACAAGACTCTCAAAAACCTTTCAAGAAACAGCAGCAACAAAAGAAACACATATAATATTCTATGATAAAGGAAATATCTCTGAGGATATAATGGCAAGGAAGAGGAAGAAAACATTTTAAACAATTGCAAAAAGACGTTGGGGATGGCAGGGAGAAGTCTTGGCAAAATCATGGTTTCATCCCCAAGTTTCTATAAACTGGCATTCTGAAATGCCTTGAAGTTCATCTGACAAAAAGGTGGATCATAAATTTGTTTAATAAATTACATGAATGAATATCCTTGCAGCACTTACAAAATAAATTGCATAACCAGTTCCAGACAAAAACCTGCGGAACTCCCCTTCATCCCCAGCTCAACTTTTAAGACAGAAAGATATGTCATAGTCCATACAGCATGGTGAGGAAGTCTGTCTTAACCCAATGCCAAGTATTCGAAATGTGGTAAACAGGTAGCAATATATATATATATATATATATATATATATATATATATATATGAGATTGGAACAGAATAGTGTCCTGTGTGGCTGGATCAACTTGGATGCACATGTTTCAGACCTGGCCTAAAGATGACACACCACCAGTTCTAGCAGCAGAGGAATGGGAAGCTGGGAAGGAGGGATGGGAGGAGAAATAGAGGAAGAGTTTGTCACCTGGTTACATTTTTCCTCCACACGTTGAAGGCGCAGAAGCACACCAGAGAGCGCAAATGCAGCAGGACAGGAAGATGCAAGGGTGTCAGGAAGGCTGGGCTCCAGCTCAGTTCGGTCTATGCATCGCAAGTGCCTGGCCTCTGGAGGAGCCCCAGGCAAAGACTGCGTGGGCTCCCTGACCAGGCGGTCAGCCCTAGCTACTGCCTGAAACTGGGAAACACTTGAATGAAAAAAGTGATCGCTCTTCCATCAAAGCACATTCTGTACTGACACTGGCTAGAATGGGCCATCATCAAATGTGCAAGCGGACATTCTTTTCAACAGGATTTATTTAAAGGCAGGAGTGCATGTGACTTGTGCAAATAAGTGGACGGAGCTTAGAGAATGAAGAGCAACTCTACATTGCTTGAACCTGCAATTGTCCTTTGAGTTCTGCACCTATTTCCTTAGTACAGAGAGAAAGGATGCTTAAAATCTCACTTCAGCTGCTAACTCACTTAGTGACCCTACAGAAGCCCCTCTCTTGCAGCCTCAGGTTTACCCCAATCTATAATGTAGCAGCTCCTTCACGAGGCCATTAAGGGTCATGTTTGGGATCACTGAGACTGCATCCGTGAAAAGCTTAATGTTCACAGAATACTAAATAAATACTATTATTATTGGCAGCCTCAAACAGAAGTTTGGCATTTATATGAACAGAGTGTATTTCCACATAATAGTAGCTCTGCTGTATCAACAGTACTTCCATGCAAACTGCAGAGAATAATATTTGGTAACCGTCAAATTAAATGGAACTAAAGTCATTCCTCTACCAGTATTGCCATAAAGTCTCTACTATGTAAGGGATACGAGAATCAAGAATACAAACTTCCATGCAGGAATTACTATACAGCATTACTATACAGCTGTTGTATTCAGTTAATATGACTGTGCGTGCAACTGAACAAATGCAAAAATGTAATATTCACTCTCTGTTCTAAAATCAAAGCATGCATTTTCATGCAACCAAATTGTTTCTCTTCCTCATATAGGAACAAGAAGGGAGTTAAGTAATTAAGTTCACATTCTCTTGCAGGTCAGCTTTGTTTGTGGCATAAGCCAAGCTGTAAGCGGAATCCAAAAGTGGAAGGCTAAAAGGCAGGCTGCAGTGCATGGCAAACTATTCACATAGGTTTAACCGCAGTATTCTGCTGAGAGGAATGTGGGGTGGGGAAGGATTACCATATTTATTTCAAAATGTTCCCTTTATACCTTTTATTGGCTTCTGAGTCAACTAGCGAGAAGACAGACATCCACTGGAGCAAGCCTCAATTGCCTAACAAACAGCGTGCATTGGACTATGCCACATCCAATACTGCTGAAGCTTATTACTTTACATTTAAGATGCAATTCTGCCCTTGTGTTGGCTCTGCTTGTGGTGCCACGGATCCCCCCATACAGTTGTAGACTGTTTCCGCAAATAGAGCATTTCTTCGAGTTTTTTTACCCAATGACCAATCCTCACAGCTCATTCAGCACGGTGCTCTTAAAAAGTAAAGCAACCTGTAGCACAGTGAGCATCTCAGCACAACAGCTGGCCACTACTTCACCATGAGCAAAGCAACAATGGAAGCTCTTGACCCAATGCTCAATACACTGAAACGGTTAAGCAACTCAGGCCTTGAATTTCCATTAAAAGCCAAAGGCAGTAGCATCGTCCAGCACAGTTCTTCCATTTCCGTATACACCTCTGGCTGTGACTACAGCAGAGGTAAGGCACGGTGGCACACAACAGGCAGTGAAGTGTCACTGACAATCGTGTCACTGTTAACTTAGTGCACTGTGTTTCCAAGTGGCCATACTTCAAAAAGGAAGTTAGGAAGTTGTCAACAGCAGCATCCATTGCGCAGCAATAAGGTTAGGAAGCAGTCTGTAAAGAGGGTATTTCCTTATGAATTCCTACCTGACTTTTTGGAGGAGGTGGTGGGTTACAGGTTGCCTCCTTGGGTTTAGCAAAGCGAGGGTTTACAGGAGATTCAGAAGAGAGGTGCAAAGCTGCTTTAGCTACTACCTCCTTAAAGATAAAAAGCACAATAGCCCAGGGAGAGAAAGAAATATTTTATGAAGAAAGGGAACAGGAGTGAAAGACGTCATGAAACAGAAGGAAGGAACAAACACTTTTGAAGAAAAAAAGTGGTGTTATGTCAGCATTACTGTAAGAGATATTCAGATTTTATAAAGATACCACAGTTTGTACTTTGATATCTACAAGTCTAACAGTGCTACAGAGAAACGTGGTTAGAACAACATGACAACTCACCATGAGTGACCAGCCACTGTGCTTTGCATGCTGTCAAAACACAGCAAGATCTAGGCAGGTGGCTTCTTTTTCCTGAACTAGCTATGCTGATAACCCATGGCTTATTATAGGCTTGCTCTTGCCTATGAGGGGTTGCTGTGTTGTCTGAACCTGAGGACCGATTTCATCATGGGTTTCAGCAATTCATTACAAAGCCACTCCGTAAGAGTGGCAATAAAGCCCCTGCCACGTGCTTTTTGCTCTCTTGCCAGTGGCTGCCCCTCCACTGAAATGGCGCTTTGGAAGCACTGCCATGTGTTCCCTGGCTTTTTATTTTTTGAAGTCTCAAACTGTACAATTAGCATTGTAATTTTTGTTTTAAACTAATGTTAGTTCTTTTGCAAATGCACTCATATCGCTGACCCATATGCATACTCCTGCCTTGCCAAGTTGTCATTTGAAAAGCACCAATAAAGTGGGGGAAAGCAGCAACAGAAGGTGCCCTCAAAGAGGGACAGTATTTCATCCCACTTAGCAATGGAATCTTCCTACCTTGAAGGTTGAACCAACAGTTCCCAGGACCCTGCATCTTTTTAGCACTTTTCCCCATCTCCAGCTATCCTACAGAGGGAAGACAACCTTTTCCCAGCTCCTTTTTGGAGGAGTTACTGCAAGTGATGAAATGTCACCTCCAAAATGTCCCAAGCATTAAATCTGTGTGTATTTTTATGAGTGGTGCTACTAGTGCCAGTACTATTTATTTATTTATTTATTTATTTATTTATATCCTGCCTTTTTCCTACAAAGGGCTCAAGGCAGCTTACATCATCTCTCCTCCTCCATCTTATCCCCACAACAACAACCCTGTGAAGTAGGTTGGGCTGAGAGTCTGTGACTGGCCCAAAGTCACCCAGTTGGCTCCATGGCTGAGGAGGGACTAGAACCCAGATCGCCTGAGTCCCAGTCCCGTGCTCTTAACCACTACACCACACTGGCTCTCAGTGTTTTTGCTTTTAGCTACCAGGGAACTGCGGTTATTACAGCACTATGGAAAGCAGCTTTGAAAAGGGAGAGCAGGACTTAATATCTCTCACTCCACAAACCTTCAGCACCCCATAGATTGTGGGTGAATGGAAAAAAGAGGCAAGTGCAAGACATTTACATTTTCTCCCCTTCCACATCAAGTAAAAGCCACCATTGCCTGTAACAGTCTCCTCTTCTGGCCATGATTTAGTTATTCCTTCTGCAATGTGAAAACTCTGAAGCTAATGCAGAATTCCATCATCTGGAATAATTGTTCTATGAGTGTGCAGATCTATGTGAACTTTTCTTGAAATTGCTCGTTGGGAGCAAATAAGAACTTGGGATATTGTCTCCCTGTGATCCAAAAACCATATAAAGTGTCATTTTCCAAGTATTTCACAGAGATCCTACTAGCTTTCATTTCAAACATTTAGACTTTGGATTCAAGGCACTCTTCTCATTATGGTCTGTTATCCTACTTGGAAATGGAGACTTGCTTCATTTTCAAAGATGAATTCTGCAGTTGCTTTGTACTCACCTGCCTACGTAACGAAACGCTGGGAGCATTTTCTTCAAACTTGGCTAAGAGCTGTGTTGCCATGGACTTCACTTTGTTTTGGTTTGTTTCTTTCATGGCTCCTAGTTGGTTACCAGAATTTGTTCCTTGATTCGAAGAACTTGAAGACTGCAACCAATCAGGAATAGGAAAATATCTTTGATGTTTATATTCTACAGGAGAGGTGGGCTTAGAATCAGTTTAACAAAGCATCTTGCCTAATATTCAGTGCCAGTGACTTTCCACATTTGATTTGAAAGCTGGAAGAGAACAGCTGTTCTTGTGCAGAATGAAAACTCTTCCAATACTGTTTATGAACCACTTTTTATTCCCATTATTTACTGACAATGCTCCTTGTTAATTAGATGTTTAGTTTGTGTGGTTCAGCATACCACTTAGTGAAAGGTTATTAACTGTATTACAATACAGGATTTAAAATAAACATCCCCAAAATTTGCAAGGGTGCAGTGTATACTTTTGAAAATAAGCTTCAAGAGTGATGGGCAGTGGGCTTCCTGTCTCCCCCACACACTAAGGGGTCTTGCTCTTTGACAGCTGCCCCAGACGTGCCTACAGAGCAGTTCCTGCTCAGGCTGACAGCAGCAGCTGTCACATAGTCACTCCTAAGGAGACGTCTGAAGCTTCAGAAAAAGTATGTGTTACTTGCTTATTTGTTGTATTTATATCCTGTCTTTCCCTGCAAGGTAACACACATAACCCTCCTCCTCCTCCTCCTCTATATTTTAACCTTGCAGCAACCCTGTGAGATGGGTTCAGCTGAGAATCAGTGACTGGCCAAGAGTCACCCAGGGCTGAGGAGAGAGTGGAAGCAGTCCTAAATCAACACGATAGGCATAATACCACATCGGCTCTCAGTAATAAAATAATAAAAGTGCCACCCTAGAGGGATGGGAGGGGGGTTTGTGCAACCACAGAGGGAAAATAAAACACAGTAACTTATTTCCCGTCCCTGCATCTGCCAGTTGTGAGCTGCCGAATTAGCACATTTACCCTTGTTGGGCAAAAATTGTTCTGACATCTCTGTCCAGCAAGGCTGGGTGGGTTTCAGGGTGGATGCTAAACCAACCCAGCTGGCCATTCTTGACAGGTTTGGATGCCATGCATCTGGCAAGAGTAATGATGCTAATTAGGAAGCTTGTGACCAGCACAGACAGGGAGGGAAAATAAGTACTGTGGCTTATTTTTAATTCATGACTGTGTGAACCCAGTCTCTGTTCAGGACTGCAGTGAACTGAGTCTTGCTCAAAGTGGACCAAAGTGGCCACCAGTCCAAGAAGAGTTACAAATTAATTTTGTATTTTATCTACACTCTTGATGGCTTACAATAGTAGAATGGTTGTTTTGGCCCTAGCTGATCAGTAAAAGCCTGAATGTACATGCTCCCCCAATTCTTTTCTTCTCTACTGGAAGAAAATCCTATTATATTGTAAGAATAAATTTAGAAATAACAATTAGTACCAACCTCCTCAAAATTCATAAGACTTTTACGGCGCCTTTTACTGGATTCATTTTCTTCTGCCTGTAAGCAATAGAACCAAGCAAAAACTCCTATCATCATCATATTTAAACACAGCTTGTGTATATATTTACAATGATATATACATCTAAAATTGATTAAAAATCAAATAGCAAGGGCTGATAAACTGATGACACCCCATAAGTATCTTGGTCAGCTACAATGTTAATGGGAGTTTGTAAATAGTTTCATTTACCAACTCTGGGGTACTTTTGGTTATTATAGGAATCAGCTGAAGTTTCTCTCCTTTTCTTAGCCTCCTTTTAAATTTAGGGTACAAACTAGACAGACAAGGCAGCTATCTTTGTTTATTCCTGTCTGCCCTATTCACACATTAAATGGGGGGGGGGTCTGATTTTCTGTTAAAAGTGGATGGTTTTGTGATGATAAAAGTACAAACCACTCCTTCCTCTGTCTTAGCTCCTTGCATTTTTGAGCCCAGGATCTTTTCTCCTAACCAGCTAAGATAACAGAACAAATGGGACTGAGAAGGCTGCCTGAAACAATGGGATGCAATGTAGAGGAGGTAGAAATTATAGCTACTGTCACCCATTTCCCCCTTTCAGTGTAAAAAAGTATACCATCACCCCATGTTTTTTACATGAAGAGGCAGAAACATACAAACAGGGGTGCCAAGACTTGCATGTTGTTGTTCTAATACAACTGCCTCTTGATAAACAGGCCTGATTAATGGCCTCAAGTCACCCAATCAAAAACACAGTCACCACCAGAGCAACCACATCACTTTTTGGGAAGAATGTGCAACTTTGGACATTGCAGAAGACAAGTCAGAACAGTACCATATTCTATAATGGAGAGCTGAAATTATTCTGAGATTTCCCAAGTGGCATTAGGTCCATGTACAGTCATTTTCTGAGACTGGGCCTTGTCGCTTGCTGAATCATGACCTTGGGCTAGTCCTACACTTTTGATGCTTTATCTCACAGAATAATGGATTTGTGCTGTTCACAAGATGGTTTTATAGAATTTGTATCTCAGCCTGCCTCTGAGCAGCTCAGAGTGGCTTTAGCTCCCTAGTCACTTTGAGAGGCTGGTTAAGTCAAGGTCTCTGAACGACATGTATACTGAAGTAGAAATGTGCACCTACATTTTCAAGGACAAGACTAGTTACTCTGGCAATAGTGGCTGCTCAGCTAGGAGCTCAACATTCTGTTCACTGTCAATGGCCCAATGAATCTCTTCTAGCACAATATCCATCCCTTCTGCATTACTGCAACGAATGGGGACTGTGGCTTGAATGTGCACAGTAGCTTCCTGAAATCAAACAGTTCTTACTTTGCAGACAGGGGAAACAAAAACTGAGAAAGCTTCTCCCCAAGCCCAGCTGTTGGATTCAAGACAGAGCCAGACCGCATTGATGCCTGTTTAGACCAAGGCCATCGGCTGCTTCCACTGAATCACAATGACATAGCCCATCAGTGCTGGCTCCAAGTTGTGAGGCTTCCTTCAGTGGGTCTGTCCACCATTGCCCCAGCCACCTTTCCTCCACCTCCTCTCTCCCATTATTGCTACCTCTTACTTGCTTGGAAGGCAGAGAGCTGCTGAGCCAGTGGACTGCAGATTGTTTACCTTCTCCTCCTTTTCCTCACAGCAGTTAAGGGGCAGCGGTTAAGAACAGCAGCAAGTCTTGGGAATGGACTCCTGTTGGGCTGTGGTCTCATTGCAAATGCCCATTCATGCTTATTCTTGATGGCAGACCTGTTCATAGTAGTAGATATTCTAGAAGTCTAAACTCTTCAGCTTTCTAAAGAGTTTAGAAAGCTGAAGAGTTTTCTTTCTAAACTCTTCAGCTTTCAAATCAATCAAGACAAGACGGAGGTCCTGTTGGTTGGCGGATCGGGCTTCGGAGAGGGTGGATTTGACATGGTCCTGAATGGGGTTGCACTCCCTCTTAGGGACAAGGTCCGCAACTTAGGAGTGCTCCTCGACCCGGAGCTTTCATTGGAAGCTCAGGTGACAGTGGTGGCGAGGAGCGCTTTCCTCCAGCTTCAGCTGATTAATCAGCTGCGCCTCTACCTGGAGTACGACTGCCTGGCGACGGTGACACACGCGCTGGTGACTTCCCGCCTTGTCTTCTGTAACGCGCTTTACGTGGGGCTTCCTTTGAAGACGGTCCAGATACTTCAGTTGGTTCAAAATAGAGCTGCCAGGCTGCTGACGGGGACTGGGAGTTATCTTCACATGACTCCAGTCCTCCGTCAGCTTCACTGGCTTCCCATTGAAGTCCGGGCCCAATTCAAGGTGTTGGTGATGACCTATAAAACCCTAAATGGCTTGGGTCATGGTTACCTGAAGGAGCGCTTACATCCATATATGCCCGGCTGCCCCTTGAGATCTGCGGGAGAGGCCCTTCTCTGGGAACCCTCCGTGAAAGAAATTAGGAGGGTAGGTACTCGGAGGAGGGCTTTCTCTGTGGTGGCGCCCAAGCTATGGAATGCGCTCCCCAGAGAGGTCCGCCTGGCACCGTCATTATTTGTTTTTCGGTGCCAGGCGAACACCTTTTTATTTAAACGTCATTTTTATTGTTAACAATATTTACTTATTTATCTGGCCAGGGTGACTTCTTTTATATTGTTATTTATTTTATATTGTTAATTTTATATTGTTATTTTTGTATTTTATTGTATTTTATTTGGTGCTGTGAGCCGCCCCGAGGCTTCGGCAAGGGGCGGCATAGAAATGTTTTAATAAATAAATAAATAAATAATTTTCCTGAGGTTCTCAGAAGCAGGAAGTCTGAAAGCATGTAGATCTTTTTCCTACCACTTTACTTCAGTTACCACTTCAGATTATGGTAGTATAGTCCAGGGAATTAGAACTGCTTTACCACCTGATGCAGAGCCTATATGAATCAACAGATATGCCATATTCAAAGCTATCTTTTTATTCCCTTAAGTATTCCAAATGTAATTGCATCCATTAAAACATGCCATGCCAGTTAGATCACTTTATCATGAGTGACTGGCATGTTTAAAGAAAAATATAAATTATATCAGCCATTTTCCCCTGGAAAATGGCAAAACAGTCCATTTCTCGGCACCTGTCAAGCTCAACCACAGGTTGTAGCTTGTAACCTGCAGTGCCAGCATTAAAAACAGAGATCGAGATCAAAGAAAACCAGGCTTTTGCTGTTTATAATAAATCATAATGGAGGGAACAAGTATTATTCCAGCCCTAATTTTTGGGCTTCGACCAAAAGAAACAGATGACAGTACATTAATATTACATCTCCTAAGCATCAGCTCTTATAACATAACCTCATGTCCTGTGTAAGCACTAGTCTGTCTAACAAGACTAAACAGAGTGGTGGCACAAGTTGTTTTGCTCATTTGTGTACATTCTTTCTCACAGGACAATAGAACACCCATTTTCAAAGGTGTACGCAGTGAACAGATTTCTGCTTCCGTCACATACAGCCACAATACCCTTTGCTTAATTACCTTTTGACTGCCTCAGTGAAAGTCACCTTTCACTATTTTACATTATGATGACCCCCCAATCCACTTTTTCATCTGCCGTGTGCAAGTCCCATTCCCTGCCGAATATTACTGACATATAAGAAAATGCAGGACTTCAACCACTCTTAACACACACTTGTCACTAAACCCTTAATTGCTATTAGAACCGGTGGAAACCTTAGCACCAGTCCCCTGTGAAGCTCATGAATGAAGCCCTATCCAGGAATTCTCTTTGCAACTTTATGGGGAAAGCGCTAGCCCTGCTGTGGGTTGCCACATCCGACACGGGAGGGCTCTCCCTTGAGAAAGTCAGCCTCTGCTTGTGGAGCACAACAATGGACAGGGCTCTCCCTCCTCATGGGGATATTAAATCCACAAATAAAATACCGAAATTGGGCTCAAGTCTGCCACCGATGCAAGGCTGCATTTTAAGTGGAGTTTCCAAACACCTACTTTTTTAAAAGGTGGTGAACTAAGAATCAGTGATATTATTTTTTAATAAGTTTTATTCTAAATAACCCTAATACAAAGAAAAACTAAAAACATCAATCATCAGAAACATCGGACCTGCTGGGTCAGCCCCCACATTTTTTCTTTTTATGGTAACTAAAATCAGTGATATTATTGACAAAGTTTGGCACAACTACAAGCTAATACTGCAGGCTGTATTTTTTCCACAGAAAACAGGGATGGGCAACTCGTGGTTCTCTACAATCTACAATTCCTATCATCCCTAGCCCTGGCCCAAAGATAAGTGCTGATGAGAGTTGCAAGCCAAATAATATGGAGTGCCACAAATTGCCCACCCTAATAAAGAATACGCATACTTCTTTTGAGCAACTACAGCATAGTTAAATAATGCCATTGTTTAGCTTCCCAATTTAATGGCATGAAGAGTGTAGAAACCTTCAAAAAGTTAAGGTTATTGTTTTCTTTGAAGGAGAGTAGAATGTGTCCAGATCAAAACTGCTGCAGACAGACACGTGGCCTTGGGTTCAGAGCTGTTCTTCTGCTTATGGAAGCATATCGAGTGGAAACACCAACTGTTGTGAGAGGGGAACAGTCACTTTCCTCCAACGCCCCCTTGCCACCTCACATTCTGTTTTGGAGGGTCCTCCAATCATCTGGAGCAAGGGGTTCCAAAGGAGAGGGAAACATTTTTCCCCATTTTCACATGCCAGCCTGCCTTGTGAGTGGAGTTCCATATGTGGCACCACCGATTGTAAACTTATTTATTATTTATTTAAAACATTTGTCTGCCGCCCAATCGTGCCACAGCACCTCTGGACGGCTTAAAACCCTTCCATTGTAAACTTTGATTTGGATGATTCCTGAGCAGATTTTTGCTTAACTTTATTTTCTGTAGGCCCTTTGTTCTATTAGACATTGACAAACTTTTTGATACTACATTTGCACTGTCTTGCTCCAGCTGGGGACAAGAACGCCGGCAGAAAATGGGCAAGGAGGAAATTCAAACTGCTTTTCCAATAAAAAAATCTGGGTGCACTGCAGTGAACAAGCCAAACAGTGATGTTTTCACCATGAACATTAAAGTCACGAGCAGCACCTTGGAACATACCACCCACTTCAGGTTTTCAGCAAAGTAATCTGCTGTAAGATTGCATAGGAAGGGTGTCAAAGGGTGTTTTTTTCCTTCTAGCAAATTTGATTTTTGTGTGTTGGGCTTCTGTTGAGCAAATGCACTAGCTCTGTTTTGTTTGCATGACTGAGTGAAGAACTGCTGTTGCCTAAAAAGGGCATGAGGTTACTGGCTGGTAGCTGAACATTCAAATGATTTGAGGATGTTATTTATAGAATGGCAACATAAGAATGATCTTATACTTTGTGTTAAGAAAATGTTTGCTCAAAGCTTTATATAATGGATTTTGGAAGGCAGCTGATATAACTTTAAAAGCAACATGATTATTTTATTTCTTTTAATTTCTGGTTTCTCAGGTGACTGTCTCCTAATATTTTTATGATTGATCCAGGAGCCCCTTAAAATAAGGCAGACCACATATGCTTTAAATATGCCAGTTGTGATTTTAAGTTTAAGTGGATGCATACAAAAAATCACATTCTGTAATAAGTACAGAAAATAATAAAATCCAAGCAGTAAAAATGGAAATTAAACCTAGCAAAAATGTTATATGATTTGATACAAATAAATAAATATTTTTCTACCACAAATGAAAACTAAATTCACCATATTTAGCATTTGGTTGCTAAAGGAGAAACTTTAAGCTATAATCCTATACACATAGGATAGGATTGGAATAAGCTGGGAGTAAGTCCTATTAAAAGCAGTGGGGCTTACATTTGAGTAGACATATATATAGGGCTGCACTGTTGGTCCTGTAAATGGCTTGGCTTATTCTAGGAAACTTTAATAATGGTTACTTACATCCTATCGAGCTGCAAGCAGCTGTGTTGCAATAGCCAAAAAAATTAAGCTGTTCTATCTGTATGTCTGTTGGGGAACACAGTTGGTATTCGGCCAGAAAATTACTAAACTGGGGTGGGGGAATAAGTTATGTGTGAAAGTCCTAGTTTTGCATCCAGACTAAAGGCTGTATCTCCACTGAATTGGATTCTCCAGACTGCAGGAGGGGTGGGGGCAGGGAGGAAGCAAGGGAAGTCCTGCTGTATAAACTGAAGTTAGCTTCTTGGTCAGTTCATAATCTGCTAGTCCCCATCATGGGTTTTTCTGACAGTGACATCCTTTTAGTAATTATGCATGCCAGAAATCCTTTTTTAAGCTTCTAAAACAGAGAGTTAGTAAAGATGAAGGATTTTTACTTTAGGTATTCTCTTTCGCGGAAAGGTTAAGTTGATGTAATTATTAAAGGCAAAGTTGGATGATTTTGACGAATAAACATCATTTCTTTCTCCATTTTGCTTGTCAACAGTACCTGTTCGGTAAGAAAAGAAGTAAATTAGGTCTCTGGCAACTGTAACACCCACATTAGGCTCAAGATGTACTCTTCTTGAGTAATTTGTTTTTAAAACAAGCTTAGTCATGTGAAATACTACCATGTTCAGTGATGCTTACAACAGGTAACCATGAATAACTATGTGACGAGTTATCTGCAAGATCATCTCAGATTATCTCATTACACCCTGGCTAATAGTGCCACTGAACATTGCGTTTCCTTGTCTGAAAAGTCAGCATTGGCAGTTTGCAATGGTTACCTCCAATAAAAGGAAAATATGCCTTTCCCAACATTCTTTCTGGTTCAGATTTTAATCTAGTGTATTTTAATTTAAGGCTCTTAATTCTTTCCCGCATGCCCCCTCACCGCTATTTGCCTTCATTTTATAGTTTAAGCCATGGTGGAAGGTCACCTTCTTCTCAATGGCGGTGTGCTAGGTGCAATATGCAGGGACAAGCCGTTCTCTGAGTGATGCCAACAAATACCAGTGCAACAAGAAAACCACATGTTCCAGCATGCCTTTTCCCTCAAATGCAGGCAGATTATGCACTCTGATAGGATGGAATTCAATATGGAGACCAAAAAAGCAGGGCGGGGGCGGGGAAGGAGCACGTGTACAAAAGCTGTTGATAGAACATTACTGTGACTGCTAAGTTAAAGATGAATGGTGATGACTGTGTCATCTTGGTCTCCTCCCAAAAATACATGAAACATCGCCAACGAGCGTTAAACGTTTCCCCATTTCCTTTTAAAGCCTCGGATCCCTTCAGTACACAGCTAAACATAATTAACTATTACAAAGTAGTCATACTGAAGCTGCAAGAATGCTGGCACTCACGCAGACTCTCAAACAAAAGCCTGACTTCTCCTAAGAGTGAGAGAAACGAGATTGGCTTACCCACTGCTCTCAGAGGTGTTCCCCGAAATAGCTCATAGAACTTGGAGAGGTACAAGACCATGCTGAGTTTATCAGGCTCTCCAGCAGATGCCATCTCTTTCCCAGTGATGATGGGAGGAATTCCAAATTCTCGCTCAGCAATGTCAAATGCCAGCTGGTTATTTTTGACTGCATCTTCTTCATTCAGAGAGTCAAAGTCCCTTGGGGATGTAAAAAGTCATTATTAGAGAAGCGCTTCCTTTACTATTTGGCACCTTCTTCCTCTTCGCTAATACTTTCTTTTGTCCTGAAATTCTTTATAACCAGCCCTTGGGAACAACCTCTGTGGTGGTTCTATGCAAGGAAGGAGAAGATGCACCACCCGCACCACACAAAAGCAGCTTGTTTTGAATCTATTGCAAAAAAAATGGCATACATTGCAGGTTAGAGAAATCTAAACCAATTAAAATTGTAAACTTGGTCTAAGTGAAGAAAACTGAGCATCTGACTGCTGCCCTTTGCCTCTGGGTGCAAATTGCTCCTTAGCCTTGAATTTAAGTTGCCATATCATCTTTAGTCCCTCTGTGTGTGTGTGTGTGTGTGTGTGTGTGTAACCACAACCCTGAAATTGTGACTTAACAATCCTTTATAACATTTGCAACTGTTATTTAAGTTAAAAAAATGAACATGAAGATACATCACAAAGCAACATGGACCAAACTACATTATGTTTGAAGAATCTCCTCTCACATGAATTCATGCCATCCCTATAAGTATTCTTGCTCCTTTTCTAGGTGAATGGTCACCACTAGCCGTGGTGCGGTCGTCTGTCACATGGCAACATAAAAAGCCACAGTGCAATGCCCAATGTTTTGAGCACCATTCCTGCAGGCTGTACATTCCCAATCGGCCCTGCCACGTGAAATATGCTATGCTCTGGTATCAATTTTATAGCAGAAGCAGAGAAGGAAAAGCTCCCAGGAGCACTTGGCAACCCACCTGCCATGTGCCACAATGGCTTTTTTTTTAAAGAATGCCTCCAACATCACTACATCGAAATAGAAATTCTCCTTGCCCACATTTTAATTATTTTCCCTACCCACCCCTGAAAATTGCAGGAAGTGCTTCCCCACTTTCCAACTCCCCCACACAAGCAAATCATCTAAAATAAGGGTTCGGCATGCCATTTCCTACATGGTGAACTATCTGTTAGGGAGCTGGGTGGATGATTATTAAAGGAGATCAAAGGATCACCATATACTGTGCCCTAGGTAAAGGATGTTTTAATCACATCTACAGGGAATTTCTGTGCCCCATAGCACTTCTGGACTCTAGAGGTCAAGGCCAGCTATTTCAATTCTCTGTGACACAATAACCGCCCCCCCCACAAAAAAAATTAGGAAGAAATGAAGAAAAACTCAGTATCACTATATGTCTTTTACAGCAAGAGACTACCAACAAACTGGCTAATCTATTCTGGAACCAGCTGAAGTTTCCAAAGATCTCTTTTTAGCCTCATGTACAGGTACATCATTGCCTTCATCTGTGGATGTTACTAAAGCATGGTCAGATCTTTTCCATCAAGGAACAGCCATTGACCAAAAGTGGAAAAATGGTTGTCTGTGGTACAGATGTCACATGAGAATTCGGGGTCCATAAGCAATGCTAGATTGAAGAAAACATCGAACCACCAGCATCCACTTTTGAGCAAAGAATACTTGTACTTTGGCTTTCCTTGAAAGCTTGCGTTTTGGCAGCTGTCAAGAAAAAGCAAAGGTCAAAAAGCATATTTGAGCATCCTTGTGTCAGTGTCCAGGTTTGGTATCTGGTGACATTAATCCAGCCAAACTGTCAAATTTCCACACTTGCAGAACTGCAGATCTCAGCACTTGTACAAGTGTGGCTAATTTTTTAAAACATATTTGTGCACACAGTGTGTACCATTTTCCTTTAAAAAAAGTGGCTTGCCAGCTGCTGCCAGCCCTCCCAAGATGCCATTTATGCTGGCTTTCATGATATCTGAAAAACAAAGTAAAGGGCAAAACAGCTGCAACAAGCCAAAAACATAATCTGAGTGGTGAGGAAGACACAATAAATTCTGCTGTGTTGTCCTCTGGGATACCCATGGCAGCATCAAGGGGGAGAGAAGAGGCAGACAATCTATGGTGACCCCAACTATCTACCAAGAACCCCATCCACTGACAGTACAGCTCCCAACTTTGTGCTTCTCCAGTCAAGGCATCCGTGAAATGAATATACAGCTAGAAATACAGTGAAACTTACTCTTCAAACCCAAAGTTATACATGTGTAACAAGATTATACCACCACGCTTCCAAGTCCCTGGCCAATTCAAGCTGGGCAAGTCATTAATGTGGGCTAGCAAAACTTTATTTGGTAACAAAGTGTATTGGCAATTAAACTGTGAATTCCAGGAAAGGAAGGCAGTTTGGATGAATAATAAACATTCATTCTAGAAGTGCATGGTTAGGAAAAAGGTGAAATACATACTGCTACTCTTCATGTGAGGCAGAAAAGGAAATAGATGCTGAACCAACTTTCCAAGACACTTTGGACACTTAACATGGCAGCCAGTAATATGAAGTTGGTCCTCCATTTTAAAGAGCTGATGAACATGTGTAATTTTAGTTGATATGTCCATATTGGTTGGAACAACAAATAAATCACATAAAGTTTCAAGTTGGTCATCAGCAATTCCAGAAATGGTATTCAGATTTTTTTTCATGTTGCAATGGATCCTTTTGGTACAGAAATAAAGCTGTACTAGCCTTTTTTTACACAAACATAATCTCTCCATGTATATTTTCAAAGTATTATAGTGGTTCCTTCCTTAAAAAAAAAGATTTAGATTCCACTAAAGTAAGCAAAAGCGATGCAGTGAAAATCTCAAGTTGTTCTTTGAAACTGTATCCCATGCATTTTCAGTACTGGGCCAAGGACATCCAGGAGGAAAGAGCCGAGTGAAGACATGCATATGGTTGCAAAACAGATGTTTAAAGGGGAAACAAACTCTCTCCATTGTTTTGATTGGCCCTACCCAAGACTATACTTTTACAAGGAACCTGGCATAACCTACAATCAGCAAGCATTACACATACATAAAAACTTACATGAGGTCAGGTCTGAAGCGATGTATAATTGCACAAAAGGCAAGACCGCTCCTCCATGAACTTGTGAGATCAGTGACGTTAACGTTCCGGTATCCTTCTGTCTGCCTCTGACACCACGTTAAAAGTTTGTTTGGCCTTGTGTCAGATTCTGAAATAACACATCAATTAAAAAAGAAAAGAGATAGTCACTGGTTCTGTCAAGACGCTTGCATTTTAAAGTGTAGACGTCATAGTAACACATTTCATACCATGTCTTGAAAGACCAACTGATCTTCTAATGGAGCTTGTTCTTTCCAGGGGGCATGGCTGCAGTTCATTTGTAATGTATAAATGCTTCACCTAGGGGAAGATGTACCTCATAAAATGATCACTCTTATAGATAAACATTTATATCCCACCTTTTAAACTCTTGCTAGGAACCCAGAATGGCTTATGTGATCCTTTTTCTCTCCATCTTATCCACAGTCAACACAATGGTTGAATCGATACAGTCTTTGCTATCCAGTCCTGAATTCTTGATCTCCCAATTATTCAAATTCACAATAAGCAACCCATGTTAATGTTGTCCTATTCAAGTAACATGCAGGTTTATCCAAATCTGATTCTGCAAATATTTAAGTTCACATCAAAATAAGGCAAGACTCTATAAGTAGTTTAACTGTACAGCAGTAACTACCATGGGGCCTCGAACCTCAAATGACCCTAAGTTCAAACATTCCAGAGTTCAAACGCTAAAATCTAGATAAGATTGTTCCAAAGGTCGAACGATGCGTCTAAATTCGAACTGTGGGCACAGTGGGGAAAAAAAAGCTTCAGTGCTTTCTTGATACACTTTCAGTGCTTTTTTAATCTGTTCTCAGTGCCTTTTCAATCATTTTCAGTGCCAAAATGGGTATTGTTTAGGGTCTGGGGATGGATTAATTCACTTTCCCTTATTTCTAATGGGGAACATTGCTTCAGATTGCAAATGATTCAGAGTTCAAACAGCCTCCTGAAATGAATTAAGTTCAAAGTATGAGGCACCACTATCTCCAAAGTTCACAAGGATTTAGCCTGCACAGATACTTTTTTCCTTGGGAATTAAGAACTGGGACAACAATTTCATGGCATTCCTCACTATACTAACTAGTTTACTGTTTTTTTCCCAGATAGCTCAACTTACCTGATGAGGCCTAACACAGCTGGAGTTCAAATTTGGATACCGTGTTGCAGGATCAATGGTATATTGGTCAAAGTTTTTAGTGATATTTTCAGGTGTTGTCTGGGGTAGGAGTCTATAAATGCTTTCTCTGGAAGGTATAAAAAAGCGGGTGTATAAATCTTTAAGAAACATAGAGTATTTTCTTTACTGTACATGCTCCTGCTTGTATTTAGCACTTTGGAACCTCTAAGCTTGGGGTGGGAACAGAACACAGACGTGAGTACGTCTTCCTGAAGCAGGAAAAGAGTTAGGAAGAAAGGATGACATCATCCCAAATCAGTTGACTTTGGTTTTTCCTTCACATAAGAAACAACTCCTCCTTTAACCACAAAACAGTACTGGATACAGACTCACCCAACCATTATTAGTCAGTCAGACTTCTATTTATGTCTGCACTATGTTTTAGTTATCCACAAACATGCTTCCTCAGCTCTTAACTGACCTTTTTTCAAGTCCAGGCTCCTGATTTCATTACCACCACAAAAATATTGTTCCCAAATAATTTCTCAACAGCTCTATCCCCCACCCTGTGAAGGGCAAAGGTTGCAGGTGACGTGGCAGAGAGAGAAAAGGGACCAAATAGGGTAATTGAGAAAAACAGAGGTGGGTAGGGAAAAAGAAGGAACTGCATCAGAAAGGGATGCTGAGATACAGTGAGGCAGGAAAAGAGTAGTGGCCACTGGGCAGGACTTTTCCATCTTGCATCTTTGCTAAGTGAAGAACCCTTTCAGTTTAGGGCTAAACTCAAGGCTGTTAAGGTACAAAAATGGTTGCCCTTGAAGACTCAGTAATATCAAACTAAGTAACATCAGCACTCAAGCTTTCAAGCACAGATAATTGAAGAAAGTTATCAGCAACAAACAATACTGACTATATTAAATCTTTACTGTCCTGGTTGTTGCAATAAATTAACAGCACATAGAAAGTTTCATCCTAAGAGAAACTAGAATGCAGACAGTTAAATGGCTTTCAAATATATGTAACAATAGCAGGAGATATAATTGTGTATGTAATATTTTTGTGTATTTTATGTATGGTGTCTCCTGCACTTGAGTAGGAAAACAGTCATACTGTAAAGCATTCAAAAATGGATTTATGAGGATTCCAGCTCTTGGAGAAGTTATATGAATAGCATATATTTTCTCAGTTCAGGTATTGGTATGTGCAGCAAGAGGAAGTCATAAGATCTCAGGGATGTAGCATAGCTCTTCATCCCCTTTAATTATGTGATAACTCTTCAGACTGCCTTTAGTAATCATCCTTCAAAACCATTCACAAATAATGTAATACATAATTTACTACAACCCTAACTTGCAGTAGATCAGAAGGTAAATATGCAGCCGCTGTCTGCGGGTATCATGCTAAGATAGTGGACAAGGGGAATATTTACTGTAGGTGGATATGGATTCAACCCAGACTACAGTTTGTTCGTTTTCACATATAAGCTGAAAAGGATAGCTGTGCCTACCTTTCCGCAAGGATATCTAGCAAGGGCTTTCCTTGTGCCCAACTTTTCACCATCCATGCAGTGTCAAAAGCAGCCAGGAACCCTCTGGCGCAACCAGTGCCCATTGGCCAGAATGGCTGTGAAATAACATTCACATTTTAGATGGTATCTGACACTATTACCATTCTCGAATTATCACAAAGGCATTATAGTTGTATATTAGAGATTAACAATTCCAGACAGCACAAGTCATTAAAGCAGTAAATGCAGTAAATGCACAAAAGCTGTTCAGTGACTGGGGAAAATACCCATCTGAAGTCATGGTCTAATCATGTCTGTTGCCTTGGGCAAGTTCCCACCGAAAGTGGTAAAGTGCATTGGCAGGCACTACAGATGTAGCAGCTTCACCTGCGTCCCTTCCTGGAGGAGAAGGACCTAACAGCAGTAGTGAATTCATCAGTAACTTCTAGACTCAATTTCTGCAATGTGCTCCATGCAGGACTACTTTTGGGCCTACTCCAGAAATTGCAACTAGGACAAAATATGGCAGCCAGGAGGGTCTCTGGAACATCATGGAGAGGGCCACATAGCACTTATTTTGAGGTCTTTGCACTGGTTGCCAATTGGTTTCCGGTTGCAGTACAAGGTGTTGGTAATTACTTTTAAAGCCCTCCATGGCTTGGGTCCAAAATACCTTCAGGAGCGCCTTTGCCCATACATTCTGCCTCACCAGCTAAGGTCCTCTGGGGATCATCTTCTGAAGTCTGCTTCTGTAAGATTAATGTCAACTGCCCAGAGGACTTTTCAGTGGCTGCCCCTAAGCAACCTGATTTCCCAAATTCTCACCTTTAAGAGGGAGATAAAAATGTATCTCTTCCAACAGGCCTTGCCAGACTAGTTATCTAATCAGTTTTATTTAATATGTCATATTAATATTACACACTGTTGGTTTAATTTTTTGTAAACTGCCCAGAGCGTAGGGCAGTTAATGATATCTTAATATCTTAATAATGAATATTAAGATAAATAAAAATAAATAAATGTAGCATAAATAATATTTTCTGAACAAATGTAAGCTAAAGACTAGGACCTATAAATGAAAGCTAATATACCAAAATCCTTTGGTTTTCCCCCCCAAAGCTTCTAGCCTGAACAGTAAAACACACATTCTAATTCTGTTCCCTTGAGTGCAGTGAAAGTGGACAGTTCTGATGATAACGAAACCCTTCCCTTCCCTTCCCTTAGGGAGACAATTTGCAGCCAGCAGACCAAGCTCAAACCACAAAATACTTCTGAAGCTCCCAGCCTTTAGATTAGAAAGCAAATGCTTTGCTCTCATTGCTATGTGACTCTGAACATGCAATAGCTAAAGCATCTGAAGTATTTCTTATTCCTGGATAAGTCACCTAATCATTAAAAGTTATTTTGAAAAATATATGTTTAAGTCTACCTCTAATAAGCTATCTCCAACAAGAGCAACCAGCAGTTGATGTCTGTGTCTCTCTCGTATTATTGCGGCATTTTCAGAGGCATACATGGAAGTAAAGTCAAACATGGCCACATCTGGTTGCCCATAGTGATTGATTGCAAAATCCAAGGCGGGCAGTTGGTAATCAGTTGCAAAGTCAGCAGCTTCTCTTGCATAGGACAGTAGGTTTTCTTGGTCTACATTTTCTCCACAAAGCAGCATTTCAGTATCAATATAATCCTATATGAAAAAACAAAACTATATCATTATAAGTCCTTGCGTATTTCTATGATTGGTACATAAAGCAGACCATCTTATTCTGCATTGAAAAACTACTAGCTTGCGGTTAGGAAAAAATGCAGGTTATATCTTGCCTTAATTTTTAAAGTTTTGGGCAACTCAATAAAGTTCAGAAAAAGCCAGTGCTTAAGACCAAGTGAATAAATGTTACTTTCTTTTTGGTCAGGGATGGGCAACACCGCTTATGTCTTATTTTACGGCATCTGGAACCACTGGATGGCCATAAGTACACCACTGAATTGCTGTGGGACTTTGGCGGCTAATGAGTAGGGGTGATTCTGGTGGCACTGGGTGTGCACATGGCCCCCAGTGGGATCCGGGGAGCCATGAAAAGGCCCCTGGACCTTTTGCCTTCCCCTCTTTTAAATCTATCATCAGGTACAGCCCATAATTCCATTATAACCACAGGTAAAGATGTCGACACTATTCAACAACAAGAACAACAACAGAATAGCGTTATGAGACCATCATAAAGTAATTAATAAAGTTTCATTTGATTTTACCTTTCATTCAAAATTCAAAGAATCATAGAATACTAGAGCTGGAAGGGCCCATAAAGGCTATCGAGTCCAACCCCCTGCTGTTGCAGGACACCAATTTACACCATCCCACTCAGATGGCTGTCCAGTTTCTTTTTGAATGTCTCTAGTGTGGGAGAGCCCACCACCTCTCTAGCCAGCTGGTTCCACTGTCCTATAGCTCTGACAGTGAGGAAGCTTTTCCTGATGTTCACCCTGAATCTGGGTTGCCGTAATTTGAATTTACTTTTCACCTTCTCTATCGCAAACCATTTGATTTTCAAGTGCTTCCCTACTCTTTTATTATAAAACTTAAATATATGAAAGGCATATAATTAGCCAGCACAAGTAAGTACAGTATAATACAAAACCTTTGTAATACATATCTATGCAATGGTCCAATCTGGACATAGGAATCCATTACTTGTAGTTTATTGGGCTAGAAATGAGTCACATGCCTGCATGCCTACCTTCAATGAAGCAAAACTGATTTCTTAAAACACTGACTTCTTGTGTCATGTAAACTAGAAACTATAGTTTAAGTATCTCCTCCAGGATCAGAAATCAGGATCTATATATTCTATAAAGGCTTTAACCTACTTTTGCATACATACATACATACATTAATAATGACTCCCTTATCCAGAAGGCTCTGCTTCTTTGCAGTCATCACAAAATAGTGTGTGCTGTCTTTATAGTAAACAATATTCTCCAGGTCAATACCTAAAATGGGAAAAGCATTTTAAAAAAACATAGAAAAGAGAAAAACAGAGGTGTACCTTTATGGCAAAAAAATGTCTCTTACCAACTTGTTTAGCATTCTGTAAATTTGACGCAAGTCTTTTCCTTTATTGTAGGAGCCCGGCAAAATTTTAGTTCTTTATGTTCATTTCAACAACTTCAGTGAATTAACACTTATGTGAGAAACCCAATTACTACATGACTAGAAAGGATTTCCCCTTTCTCTACTCTTCTGTTCAGCTCCCCAAACACCCCAAAATATGCTACAGAGGGTCACCCAACCTTCTGAAGCAGATTTGGAGGGTGGATGAAGATGGGCATAGTGGCCTTCCTCCCCATTCCAAACAAAGCAATTCTATTCAACCTGATTCTCCAGTCATGTGTGATAGTACCTTTCACAGCAGGAGACAACTATTTGCACTTGTACAAAGCTCTTGGCTTGAATTTGTTCAAACCTAGGATATAGCCAGGTCTCCTTTTAATAAGAGTTTATAGTGATACCAGATAATAGTGCAAATAACAAAGCCTTGAACACCTCTAACATTTTTTTAAAAATGGGATAAGCTCTGATGGCCCAACAGTCCAGTTCTAGTTCATGAAAGTTTTTGCCATAGTAAATTTGTTAGGATCACATTCAATCCTTTCTTACTGCCAACAAGACAGGATGCATTAACGCAAGTGTGGCCATTTTTGCAGCCCAAGGGCTACAAGAGGTGTTTAGGTGGGTAGCTGGGAGCCACATACGTGTGCACCCCCCAACATGCATGTGCAATGCATGCTCACACTTGTACCCTGTGCCAAATCACTGGGAAGAGGGAAAAGCTTTAACCCCATCCTGCTAGGAAAGGTGTTGTCCAGGGATTATTCAAGATGTACAGCAGAACTGCTTTTCCTAAGAAATAAGGCAGATAAAGAGCATTATCCTTCTGCAGTCTGTTTCCTAGCTGAACCTGGTTGCAGCTCAGTGTGGCTTAGGTAAATATGCCTAGGATGGCGCCGCCCCCAATATACAGACTATTTAAAATATTGGTAGAACTTTGATGAAAAACTTAGAAAACCGAGTGTTGTACCGACAGCTATGTTAAATACACCTGCTTCCACCAGCATGTAGTAGAACAATAAAATAGCCTTAATTCAAAGGCATTTGACATTTAATAGCCCCTGCAGAGTTTGGCTCACCGCCTTATTTTACTTTGCCATGCTTGAACAGAGAGCAAATAACTCACCTGTTTCTTCCTTCAAATCTTGGAAGAATTTTTGATTGAAAATGAAAGCAACGCCACTGATCTCTTCCACCTTAGCTTCTGCGGTGGTATTTCTGTTTATGAAGTTGGCAGTGATAGCTATAGCTAGCTTCCCACGAAATTCCTTCCTCCTAAAGCCTTACAAGAAAAGAAACCAAAACTGTGTTTTAGTCCAGTCTAACCAAACCAAACCAAACCAAACCAAACCAGAATGAGCCAAAACAACCTCAGACTAAACAAACGAACACTCTTAAAATTATCAGATTTCACAATAACTTGGTTCATAGGCCAAAGTGGGTTGTCACCACGGCTTGTTTCAGAGTAGCCTAGCAAGATATTCAGACCCAGAGTGCCACCACCACCACTTATTGTGAGTTGTTTTCCACAAACAAGCCACTCTGAGAACCAATGGCTTTCTTTGTTGGGTTGGTCAGAGAGTCTTGTGAAGTTCAAGCCCAGTAAGGCAACTTCTCTGTGAGCTGTCAGTGGAGAAAACCCACTTGGCCAAAGTGGAGAAAAACCCTTCTGTTCTTTATAACCTCACTAGTGCCGCCGCCCTCCCTCATCCTTGGTCAGTGCCCTCCCAAAAATCAAGAACAGTCACCAAAGAATGCCCCGAATTTGCAATCTCCCTCCTCCAGTCCCATGCAAGCACACAAAGGTCTGCAGCTTTGAAACGGAAGTAATTTGACCCAAACTGCTTTCCTGCTCTGCCTGCTTTGCAAATCTTTCCTGATCCCACTCTCTGCTCTGCTTCAAAATTTGCAAATCAGACCCATTTCAACCTTGAAACCATGTATATACATGATAGCTAACAATGGAGGGAAACAACCACACAAAGTTTTAGGGAGAAAATCGCTCAGATTCGTCACGAGCTGGATTCCACTATTGATTCAGAGGTTTTAAGGGAGACACCAACGCTGCCGTCTGGTCCAGAATTATTGGATGAATTTCAGTTATTGCGGCCCGATGATGTGGACAAGGTGCTTGGACGAGTACGTCCTACCACTTGCCTTCTGGACCCTTGCCCGTCTTGGTTAATAAAGGATTCCAAGCACGGGATTGGAACCTGGATCTTGGAAGTGGTTAACGCTTCTCTGAGGGAGGGTCGGGTGCCTGCCCCTTTAAAGGAGGCGGTAGTCCGACCGGTCCTGAAGAAGGCGTCACTGGATCCAGGGATGGCCGCTAACTATAGACCAGTGGCCAACATCCCGTTTCTGGGCAAGGTGTTAGAGCGAGTGGTGGCGGGACAACTCCAAGCACTCTTGGATGAAACTGATTATCTGGACCCATTTCAGTCCGGCTTCAGACCCGGGTACGGTACTGAATCTGCCTTGGTCGCCCTGTACGATGACCTGTGCAGGGAGAAGGACAGGGGGAGTGCGTCCCTGTTGGTTCTCCTGGACCTCTCAGCGGCTTTCGATACCATCGACCATGGTATCCTTCTGGATAGGCTGGCGGGATTGGGGGTCGGAGGCACCGCTTTGCGGTGGTTCTGCTCCTATCTCAACGACCGATTCCAGAAGGTGGTGTTGGGGGACTATGGCTCTGCGCCATGGCAGCTTTGCCATGGGGTACCGCAGGGTTCCATTTTGTCCCCTTTACTGTTCAATATCTACATGAAACCGCTGGGAGAGGTCATCAGGAGGTGTGGGCTGCGGACCCATCAGTATGCTGATGATACCCAGCTCTACCTCTCGTTTTCCACCAATCCAGGTGAGGCAGTGGCTGTACTGAACCGGTGCCTGGCCGAGGTAATGGGCTGGATGAGGGCCAATAAACTGAAGCTCAATCCAGACAAGACGGAGGTCCTGTTGGTTGGCGGTTCGGGCTTCGGAGAAGGTGACCTGAACCTTGTCCTGAATGGGGTTGCACTCCCTCCTAGGGACAAGGTCCGCAGCTTGGGAGTGCTCCTCGACCCGGAGCTTTCACTTGAAGCTCAGGTGACAACAGCGGCGAGGAGCGCTTTCATCCAGCTTCGGCTGATTCATCAGCTGCGCCCCTACCTGGAGTACGACTGCCTTGCAACAGTGACTCATGCGCTGGTGACTTCCCGTCTTGACTTCTGTAACGCGCTCTACGTGGGGCTACCCTTGAAGACGGTCCGGATACTTCAATTGGTTCAGAATAGAGCTGCCAGGCTGCTGACGGGGACTGGACGTTATGTTCACATGACGCCAGTTCTCCGTCAGCTTCACTGGCTCCCCATTGAAGTCCGGGCCCAATTCAAGGTGTTGGTAATGACCTATAAAGCCCTAAACGGCTTGGGTCCTGGTTACCTGAAGGAGCGCTTACATCCATATTTGCCCAGTCGCCCCCTGAGATCGGCGGGAGAGGCCCTTCTCCGGGAGCCCTCCGTGAGAGAAATTAGGAGGGTGGCTACTCGGAGAAGGGCTTTCTCAGCGGTGGCGCCTAAGTTATGGAATGCGCTCCCCAGAGAGGTCTGCCTGGCGCCGTCGTTATTTGTTTTTCGGCGCCAGGCTAAGACCTTTTTATTTAAGCAACATTTTAAATGCTAAATATAATTGAATTTTATCTGGCCAGGGCGGCTTATTTTATAATGTGAGTTTTAATTAAGATTATTTTATATGGATTTTAACTTGTTTTATCTATGTTGTAAGCCGCCCCGAGGCTTCGGCGAATGGGGCGGCATAAAAATGTTTTAATAAATAATAATAAATAAATAAAGTGATGGTAGGAAATAGAAGTGCCTAGCCGTTGCAGAAGATGGAGCTTTTCAGGCAAGTCTAACTATTTCAGTGTATGTCAGGCTTTTTTCTTTTGCAAAGTTGCTTGCTAGCAATGAAAGCGTGGATTTTGACAAAGAAAATGACAAGGGCATTGAGCAGAAGGGGAGTTTCTCCTGGAACCAAGCAGTTCCAGGAGGTAGAACAGCCTCTTAATCGCCAACACCCAGCTACCTATGGCACAGAATGTAGGCACGTTAGCATTAAGACTGTTTTTGCAAAGGACAGATTGGGGAAATCACACACAAAAGTACTCCTTTGGACCCACATGCTCTTGTTCCAGAGAGAATCCATTCTGCAGTGAGTTGCTGAGGAACAGTGGAAACCACACAAAATCATGAAGTTGCCACTGCTAATGATGATACTCTCAGAGCCAGGACAATATCTGATCATGAGGTTCATGATTAAAATTGAAAAAGGTTTGCATCAGATATTATTCTGCAATTACACAATATCCTGCCTTTGAATCAGTAGTAAAATGACAATAGTTTATGTTAAATAACATAAAAAACAAAATCCTAAAAATTAAGAAAGCAGCTTAGCCCATAATTTCAAGAAACCTATACTTGAAAAACCACGCATGATCAATTCTACTGTCCATCAAAATGCAAGAAGCAGGCAGGCGCTTTGCAAAACAAGTCTTCTACTGAGTTGAACTTCAGCATAATACATTACATACCTTCCAAAGTGCTTTTGCGGCCATCAGCACCAATAATGACATCAAATTCAAATTTTGACAAAGGATGATCCATTGGAAGAAATTCAGCCCGCCAACCTATTTCTGAAAGTAACAAGCCAGTCAGCAACATATATATTTGCAAGAGTTCAAACTGCACTGAGAAAAGCCAATAGTTTGGGAGAAGCCCTGAATATACTTTGTTCAATGTTTTAAAGCAACCAGCCAACCTTATTTGTACTTCCTGGAGTAAAATGCAATTTGGAAAAGGCTACCCTTTGGATTGTGCACTTTATCAGGTTTCTTGGCATAGATGTGTATATTTCAGCACAAATCTAAAATGTGTATTTTATGGGAAAATGTACAATTTAAACACATGCTTTCACAGATTTGATTTTTCAATATATTTGCGAAAAAATGGGAAGAACAGACTAATGAGAAAGCACATGCAGAACTGACATGAACCAGAAACTGGTCTGTCTATTCTAGGAATCCCAAGGCAGCATGAATCAGAGCAATATTTCATGGAAGCTCTCACATATATGGTCATGGGGTAGAGGCAGCTCTTAGCATCCCAATATATTTGCCACATTCCAAATCATGCTGCCGAATGACTAGCGCTAACAAGCAAGAATAGATCAGCCACGTTTCATGCTGGACCACAACCCAGATCACCACCCTCTTTTCTTTATAAACCCAGATAATAGCATCCCTTGAAGACTCAACAAGCCTTGTTGGCTCATTCTTTTTAATGCACTCTTGAGTGTTTTGGAGAGAATGTGCATGGTGGGATTGAATCTGCCGTCTCGCAGTGAAATTTTAAAAGCAGGCATTTGGCACAAAGTTTAAAACTATACACCAAGTTTAAAAATATATACAACAGGTAAAAACATGCACATATTCTAGTAAAGCATATTCTCACATCTCTCCTATTCATTATTTTCTAAAGTTTTGTATCAATGGACTTATTATCTGTGTAATTCTTAATAAGAATCATGCCATACTTTGGTTTTCTTGATCTTCAGGAGGTTCCAGAACTTTCACAAATTCTAAATTCACATGGATTTCAACTCCCAGCATCAGTGCAACCTTGAATAAGATAAGCTGAAGTTGTCTAATGCCTGCAAAACAGAAATAATACAATTGATCTTTCAGGAGGGACATTATCTGATGTTTAATCACTACAATTTTAAGGCAGAAGAAATGCTTGTTAATGCAATAAAAACCCTGTCAGAACCAAGTACACTTCTGTTGCTTTTTCTCTGTGTTTTTATTAGGGTTTTGTTATTATTTTAGGCTGCATTTACAAGTGGAACCACAGTAGCTGCCATTTCATTTCCTTTTTCAAGTTAAAAATGAAGCCTAGTAGTGGATGACCTGCCAATTTCTTTTGTATCAAAGCAAATGCCATACTTCATATGCCTCACATAGTAAATATAATATCCAGGGCTGCTGTTCTTGTAAGCACATATTAGCCATATTATGTGGAAACCCAAAATAAAAGCTTAGGGTAAAAACAATCCCAAAATCTTTTATTTTAAAATAACAACTTGGAATTGCAACCGTGCAGTCTATGAGTGCACAACAGTACCAGGCTATAAGGCTAAGTGAATATAAAAACTATTAGGATAAGCTATGTCAATTTAAACTTGATGAAAATTTGAATGACTACTTTGGCATCCAGGTTAAACCAACATGCTGACAGTTCTGATAGGACATACTGACTAGGAGGGACTGGGATGCAATGTTTTTTTTAACTAGCTACAGAAACATTTATTTTATCCTCTTCCAAAAATACCTGACACAGGCTGTTTTCTGTAGTTGATACTGGCTTCAGCATTTGATTTGGTAGTGAGATACTGGCATACCATATCAGGGCAAGAGCAGCAACCCTGCACAGGCTCAACTGAATTCAGCAGAACATGCCAGCAGCACTAACTGTACAATGTGTTGCCACCAAAATCTGTCCCTTAACTAGGAAAATATCCAACATGTATGTTTGTGCAATGTGCATCTTCTATGAAAGAAAACAAACCAGCTGCCATCTGTCACAGTCAATGGTACTTACTGATATGATCAATGGATCCTGCACAGAACTTCCCATAAAACTTCTTTGCTCCCAGGCTTCGGAGATCATGAATAGTAAAAGGCCAGAGGTGAAGCACATTGTTTCTAGAAAAAGTGTCTCTCTTCTCCACAACAATAACTTTGGCTCCCAGAAAGGCAAGTTCTATGGCAGTCCTCAGACCACAGGGGCCACCTCCAACTATCAAACACTGGAGAAAGAAACAAAGGACAGTTGATTTTATTAAGACCTGTGGAAACAGACTTCAAACTTGTCATCTGCCACAATCATCAGATAAAGGAAAAGATCTTCTGAAATATTCAGAAAAGCCCCAACCCAACCCTATTTGTACAAAAGTTAAGGGTGGGAAAGTCAAATGAATTATCTCCATTCAACATACAGTCACCCCAGAAATTAGCAAACTAGGGCCAAACTACAATTTCCATTAAAATACCCACCATTATTTTTTAAAGCAAAACAAAAAGGGGATTGTGATCCAGTTGAAATCCCTCTACCACCTCTGAAGTCACCCTTTCCATTGTTCTGCTCAAAATGATTTGCAGTAGACAAATTCTGAGAGCCAGAGGGATTTTAGGAAAGAACTGCACAGAGCCTAGATCCAGACTGGGAGCGCTCATAGATTGGAGAGCCCTGTACTACACAAACCAAATAGAACCTTGCTCTAGGTGTTGCAATGGTCTTAAGGGGTTATTATTTATAGTACTTATTTATAAGAATATAACATCTTCTTTTTTCCTGAATATGATTGCCTTTAGAAATGCCAATAAGCATGGTAAAAAGAGGTGGAAAATACACCTTGACTTAGAGGGAGAAAGGAAGAATCATGCAGTCAACAAGTGTTTGTAAATATCCAGATCAGCGCAAATGTGACATAGAAAGATGCTCTTGTAAAACTCAGTCTCTGCACACATACATCTCCCTCACGGGATTAACCATATGACTTCAAGTCCATGAACTGCCTTGAAGACATGAGGCCCTTACTATTACTGTATTTTTCACTCTATAAGACATGCCTGACCATAAGATGCACCCAGTTTTTAGAGGAGGAAAACAAGAAAAAAAACATTCTGAATCAAATGGGCACATAATCACAGGCACATTCCCCATCACTTCCCCATGGGCTGCACATCTGACAGACTTACTGCACACACATATTCGCTCTATAAGACGCACATTTCCCCTTACTTTTGAGGGGGGAAAAAGTACGTCTTATAGAGCAAAAAATACGGTACTTTAAAAGGAACAAGCTTAAAGGAGACTTCCTTGGCCTGGCCCACTTCAATAAACAAGCTAAGATGCCAGTTACTAGCCTACAAAAATGGATCAATTGAGTTAATTATATGGATGGACAAGATCCCACTGAAATGCTATCAAGTCTGATAGAGCAGAACAATTGGCAAAACTTCTCACACTTTCTCATACTTCTTATGATTAACATGGAAACTCTGAGTTTCAACAGACAACATATTTACAGCCGAACAGTTGTACAAAATGTTCAGTTGCACTCAACAAATGCACACCATACATGGTTTAATCTACTTTGGTCCCACAACAAAACAAAGATCCATGTATATAAACCATGCCAGTTATAAGAAGTGACTCATTCAAGGATAGCCTTCCACTCCTCCTTCCCGCTAAGCATGGTTCACCATAGCAGTAGCAAGTCAAAAGGAAAAGCCCTGCCCACTTTCTCCAAAGCTCTGCAGAGAAACTATTTAAAGCCATCATCTGTGTTTACATTTAGCAACATATTTATCTTTACTGCTTGGTTTATCTGGTCAGATTTTTTACTGAAGTAGTTTATCCATCATTGTGCGTCACTTTTGCTCAAGTATTCTGGAGACAAAACAGCAAAATTATTCCACAAAACCGCACTCAATTGTGCTTAGGGTTTATACCACCTTTATTAAGTTATGAACAAGGCAGAACAGCATTTGGAAAAAAGAAAAATGAGACAAGCTTTCTACTTCAATCTGAAGGAACTAAATGCTACAACTGTGGCATTCTTTTTTTTCCCTAATCCCAGGCTCATTTTTTCCCCAATCCCATGCTTAGTGAAGAAATGGAGGGTTAAATGCTAAGCAAATCTGCAGTAAGGAACAAACCATGAAAAAAGGATCCCTCCAGCTCCTGTACGAGCTCTTAGGCTACGCTTCCAGCTAACTTATTTCCATCTGCTTGCCAGGATGTTATCCAGAAAAGAGAATTGTTTCTAAAATGGCTTGCAGGTTTTAATTTGTTTTTACATTACATATTATCAGTGCCTTTTTTGTCATAGAATGCACCAGAACAGAGTTTCGGCACCTTTTTTCAACAGATTTTCCAACTTTTTACTTTAACTTTTTAAAATTTGATGTGTGGTCCACGTGGATTTGAATCGCCCTGTCGAGCATAGCAGGTCGAAGGCAAAATAATTAAAACGGTGCATGCAGGCTGCTTGTGTGTCGAATCCGATGCATGTGTACTTCGTCCGCACTGGTTGTGATGGCACTGCTCAGCTTGTGGCGCTGCTTGGCTTGTGATTGGTCGTGTGGTCACACGCCGAGCTTACCGCGGGTGGCAACCCTTATGTTTCATTACACAACTGACGTGTGTGGGTGTGTGTACAGTGACTGACCATGTGTGAAAGGTAAATAATTTCATGAGTTCCGGCATCTTTTTTCTTACAAAAAAAGCACTGCATATTATACTTAAAATATTTCTATGCCACTTCAAATCAAACAGAAAGTAATGAATCATGAATTGTGATGAGGCATTACCTGGCTCATGTAAAGGTCCAGCACAGGCCTTAAGTGTAGCTATAATACTCGTTAGGCATAATCGCTGTGAGAAGCTTATGGAGCTCAGTGAATGCATGAGATCACCACCTAGCAGGCACTGTGAATTCCTTAGCTCATCCTTGAGCAATGGATGTTTGTGCACCCATTTGCTGAAGTCGATTGAGATAGTGGGGCCTCCTCTCACCCTCCTTCCTTGTTTCCCAGGAAGAGGCTAACTTGTGTCTATCTCCAGACCAGAAACAGAGGGAGAGAGGAATTCTATAAACTCCATGGCAAGGAGTGTTCTTTGGCTTTCTGCTTGGAACCAGGAGCATGTAATGTGTTCAAGTAACTAGTATCCCAAGAGCAGTGTTTGTCACCTCAGGAAACCATGTGACTAAAGGGATTCCGTAAGCTTTTCTTGTGCATGTCTATTGATAATCTGCATCCACATCTTATCTCTGTAGGTGCTCAATAAGCTAGATATCATCTTGGACATATGTGGTTTCACTTCTTCCTAAGCATCCTTATAAACCACCCAGAAAGCCCTTTGGGCTATAGGGCAGTATATAAATATGATAACAGATAATAAATAAATCTGATGTGACTAAACTAGGATCTAGAGTTATTAGATCCACCATGCCTAGAGAAACATTGCATAGGCTTCTGAATCACACCTTATTTTTTCCCCTCAGAGAATGTTTCTGAGAGATGGCCCCTCAGAGTCATCCCTACATGGGGCCCTTCATGTTTCTTGGATGTAGAGATTTTAACAGCATACAGAGTATGCCACAAAGTGTAAAAAAACATGGTAGTGCACAGGAGAATGAAAAGAACACGCAGTAGCAGACTGGCTGCACTGTATACCCTCCACAGATGAGTCTGAGGAATGCAAGAAGTTCGTGCTACTAGTGTTTCCAGCACTTCTCTGAAACAAGTGGGCACCAGTCTGGCAGTATCATGGATTGTGCATGTGTGCATATGCACGCACAAAGAGATGCATGTATGTTTACTACAAAGGCATTTACCCTGTCATATTACAATACCTTCTAGAACCATGGCTGGGACTGACACTTACTGGTGAGGTTCTCAGAATAACCACAATCACAATTAAAGCAATTACTTCACAGGATAATTAGAGATTATTTCCATGGAATTAATCCAATTTGTCTCCAAAGAAGAGCAGCTGTTACAGTATCAAAAAGCAGATGGTTGAGTAATGCTTCGGTGAGAAGTCTCTACCCTTTGTGCTTCTTTTTCCCCCCATATGTTTACCTTATATACAGAAAGTGAAGGATTTGGGGAACAAAATAATAAATCCTCTTCCAGAGATGGTACAGTGTTAGCGTATCATCCTATGGCCTCTCAACCTCATCTGGGAGGTCATAGGATTGTTTGGTTTCCCAGCTCCAAGAATGCAGAATCTTGTAGCTGGAACTCTGAAGGCCAAGACCCTACCCAGCCTCTCACAGCTGACATGGAAAGAACCACACCAGCTTCCCCTCCCCAAGGCAGCAAATGGACCTCAGAGGGAAAAGGGAGGGTGTACAAATGGGTGGAGATGGGAATTGGTGGTGGTTGAGGACTTACGTTGATTCCTATCACCATCCCAGGCTCCTTCTTTCCCTTTCCCTAGTGCCTTAACTGTCATCTACATAAAATATCTGGTAGGAGCAGCAGAAACTGCCCAGGCACCTTGTTGCCAGCATTCAAGTTCAGGGCCTTATGTGCACGGAGGGTGCAAGGTCCAAGACAGCACTGTCAGGGTCTCTTCTGTCTCAGCCACTGCCATTAGCCTGTCACCGATTTACCAGGAATGGTCGTGAGTCAAACAAAACTAAAATCTAATATCAGTTTAGTGCAGAAATTACGCTAAATTATAGAAAAAATTGCAGAATCTATTTTGCTTCTTTTAAATTGGACACAATCTAAAATATCATCAGGCCCAAAAAACACTTTAACTAGGCCTGTGAACAGATACTGCTTTTAATACTGGTTAAAGCATCAGAGAGCAAAGCATTTCAGTACATCATCCTGCGAAGGTGGGGTGGGACAATCAGTGAGGTCTACTACTCTGTACGTTTGTAAGTCTTTGCTAGGCTCAGGAAGTGTGCTTTATCATGCCATTTCCTGTTTGGGCTTCCTGCTTTGTGGGAGATAACTACAAGAAAAACTACAAGATAATATCGCTGCAACTGAATCTCTTTATGACTGTCCTGGCTTCACAGAAAGGGCAATTTCAGCAGGGGTGGACAATGTTGCAGTTCTGAGGGCAATTTCAATGCTCCAAGAACCACTGTTTTATTTTGGTGATAACAACGGCAGCACAATCGGAGGTTTGCCACCAAAATTTGGCAGCCAAAACACAATGGCATTAAAAGACCAAATTAGCATTTGGCATTAAAGGACCAAATTTAGCTTTGAATTGTTT